CCGACAGTCAACTTGACACCGCTGAAGGGACTGCAGCACCGCCCAAATTTCGACGGAATCAAAGGCTTTCTCATAGTCCACATACGCCAGACATAGTGGCAAATTGTACTCTTCGGACTTCTGTACAACTTGCCGAAGGGTATGTATGTGGTCTATGGTGCTAAAGCCCTTTCGGAAACCGGCTTGTTCGGGAGGCTGGAAGTCGTCAAGTCTGGGCCACCTTCAGTTTTTCGCAAATAAATTCGGCCCTTATTAGTCCAGCAATAACGGTAATTCATTGTCTTAGCTGTATCACGTGCTAAAATATAAAGTTTTCGGTCCTTCTTTGTTAAACTTTCAGATATATATATATATCGGCATTGTGGAACTAGAAAGACCAATAGATTTTGAGGAGAGTTTATTATTAAACTCTTTCGCTCCACTTAATATCTTATTTTTTGACAGTACCGAAGTTAATTCGGTGATGACAGTAGACACACCGGCTTTGGTTTTAATTCTGTATATATCTTTTATCTCTGATGGGTGAAAATTAACATTTAAAGCATAGATAATACACTATATACCAGGGAATTTAAAGCATCGCAAATCCTTTGAACCAGATCACATAAGTCTTGTTTTGTCTCTTGCTTTATGTTTTGTGCTGGAGTAGGTAAATTACGGAACTCGATGACTGTGGACTTTGCATGTCTTCTAATCTATTTTCCAGACTCAATATATGATTATAATTTTCCTTTCGTTCACGTTCTAAATTGATAATTTTAGTGTTCATATCTTCATACTGTGTGGATATGAACGTTAACGCCTTTTCCATTTCAATATTAGTTGACTGAATGTTGGCGTTTTGTTGCTTAAGTTCAGCAATATCTGAACACAATTTACTCAAAATAAGATCTTGATCCTTCTTCCAATTGGTGAGCATGGATAATAGTTCATCTTTAAGGGAGTCATCAATACCTTTCCTTTTATCTTAATTTCTGGGTTTTTTCTCTCCTCCCTACATAATTCAGTGGATTTTCAGGTTCAATGTTTGAAATATCACTCTCCGACGACACTTGATGCACTTACTTCCTGGGGGTGATCTACGTATTATCGACATAATGATCTTTTATTTAAGTTCGTAGTTTTCGTTGTGACAGAAGTACACTATAGGTTAGTTGTTCAGAGAACAAAAGACGACACGCAGTCAGCTGTCGACCACCACGATACACACACAGTCACGGATAGACATCACATTGATTATATGAACTCCTAGTACTTCGCTGTTAATTAAAGTTGACGGTTTATTTAAAAGAAATATTTAATAAGTGTAACTAACACATGTCTAATAGCAACCACCGCCAAAGGCAAGATCGTACGTAGCAATTGATGTTTTGGCTGAATTCTATAATGTTATTATACGTTCCATCTTTATCAGAACCTTCAAAAAGAAACCATAAACAGACTGACTAGACATTCAAAGCACGCGTTACCTTCGACACATTTTGATTTTGAATCTTTTTTGATGGTTATTATTACTGTGTATCTTTCACTATTATTGCTGTTTTAATAGTTACTGCAATAAAAAAATAACAAAGCTATGCCTAGTTTGTTTACGCTGTTTCTTCTGCATATCAATGATATTTTGCAAGCCAGTAGCATTCATTGCTATGCGAATTACAGCACTGGTGATGCTCTATACACCGGCCGTGCCAATATTTCTCGGGAAAACGTCACCGAGTACCGGAACAAACTTGTGTCTGAAGTCGAGTCTTTGCTGGACAAAGTCTCAGATTGGGGGCGACTAAATCTAGTCCAGTATAATCCTCAGAAGACACAAGTTTGCGCGTTTACCGCTAAAAAGAACCCCTTTGTCGTATCTCCTCAGTTTCAAGGTACTCCCCTTGTTGCCTCAGCCAGTATCGGAATCCTCGGCGTCGACATATCGAGTGACGTGCAGTTTCGTGGTCACTTGGAAGAGAAGGCCAAATTGGCCTCTAAAAAGCTTGGCGTGCTCAGCAGAGCGGGACAGTATTTCATGCCAGCTCAACGCCTGCAACTTTACAAGGCGCAGGTTCGGCCTTACATGGAATACTGTTCCCATCTCTGGGCTGGGGCTCCCCAGTGACAGCTCCTTCCACTTGACCGCATCCAGCGCAGAGCGGCTCGAATCGTCGACGACCGAGTTCTTTCCGACCGGCTCGACTCATTGGCACTGCGAAGAGATGTTGCATCTCTTTGCATTTTCTTTCGCATTTACCATGGGGAGTTCTCTGAGGAATTGTTCGGATTAATCCCAGCGGCCAAATTTCACGAACGCACATCGCGGCAGAACTCCCGATACCATCCACACCATCTGGATGATTGGCGGTCCACCACTGTGCGATTTAGAAGATGTTTTCTTCCTCGCACAACTTCCTTGTGGAATAGTTTTAACAGTGGTAGAGCCACGCGGCAGCTTTTGCTGTCGCACGGATGGGCCGGCTCAAACCGGGGTGGTACCACGACCTCACAGAAAACCAGCGTGAAGTAGAGGATTACACCTCTGCGTTTCGCTTGGTGAGTGCAGGTGGCCGGAGGCCCTTTTTACTGGAAATGAGGCATTCCATCTTAGTCCTCACGGGTGACAACGCATCTACATTTTGTAGATGTAGATGTCTATGGGCCGCAGCAACCACTTACCATCAGGTGGACTGTGTGCTCGTTTGTCACCCTTATCCTATAAAAAAAAAATAGTTTACCACCAGCGATTTTTCCGGACCGATACGACTTAGGGACCTTCAAGAAAAGAGCCTAGTCCTTTTTAAAAGGCCGGCAACGCATCTGCAATTCCCCTGGTGTTGCGGTTGTTCATGGGCGGCGGTAGTCACTTACCATCAGGTGAGCCGCATGCTCGTTTGCCCCCTCTCCTATAAAAAAAATTGTTTCCCCAGGTAATGGGGAATTTGGGAGGCTTACCAATGTAGGAGCATTAAGAGTATAAGGCTCTGGTGCTTACACATTATAAATACTTGGAAAATTTTGAAGTAGTGAATTTAACAACGCCAGATCACGATGTTGTTTATAAATTAACTTGCAAATGTTATTAAGCTCTTTTAATTTGAATAATCAGTAGACGGATCGATTATTACTTTATTACAAACATGTTTTATTCCCTCGCTCGTGTAGGCAAAGTCCGGCTTCTTTACAAACATGAAAATTTCGTTTAGCCAACACAGCAATCGAAAATTCATCCTGACCAAAATAACTGTAGACAATACATGTAGACTAAATAATGTAAACCTACTGCTTATTTTGTACTTTATTTAGCATAGAACACAATTAATCTCTACCGAGAGAGCAGTAGGGTCACGTCTATCACTGTCACACCTTTAAACAGGATTATATCTACTTGATGTAAAATAATTTAAATTAACCCTTAGCCACCTAACGTGTATTCTAGTAACACTTCCACCTAACGTCGGTCATGGTGACCGCTTGCATATAAGTACTATTATAGGTGAAAAAATCATAAATTGGCAAAAATCGATACTACAAAAACAATTTCAGTTGTTTTTATTTCAAATTGTTTCAATAAACTCTTCAAATTAATACTTCTTACTTCTTATTACTATTAATAAAAATTGACTGACGAATATTTTAACAAATTCTCCGAAGGTTTTCCGATTAAGCCGAGTTCTAAGCAATAACAATCAATGAGACTTCTTAGTTTTTATATATTTTAGTAACTTAAATATATAACCTCTTATATAAAACTATCATTGGCACAATTAAATCACAATCGTTACAAAATTACAACACCCTAACATTCACAATTTCTATCGGCAGCGTACACACATTTTTTGAGAACACTCAACGCAAATTGGATTTTTGCACTGAAAACACAAATGGAATGTTTTACGTTTCTTCTTTGGGTCACACGTTGAACAAATTTTGCTTGTTCCTAATTTGTCAGAGCTGTCTGCCGAAGATGTTCTGGGTTCTTGATCTATTTTGAGAACCCGGCGAATAGCGTTCTGAAGTTCCCTTTGCAATCCAAACTGGTTCGCTCGACGTCGTAAATGGGGTGGTTCCTAATTTGTCAGAGCTGTCTGCCGAAGATGTTCTGGGTTCTTCATCTATTTTGAGAACCCGGCGAATAGCGTTCTGAAGTTCCCTTTGCAATCCAAACTGGTTCGCTCGACGTCGTAAATGGGGTGGTTCCTAATTTGTCAGAGCTGTCTGCCGAAGATGTTCTGGGTTCTTCATCTATTTTGAGAACCCGGCGAATAGCGTTCTGAAGTTCCCTTTGCAATCCAAACTGGTTCGCTCGACGTCGTAAATGGGGTGGTTCCTAATTTGTCAGAGCTGTCTGCCGAAGATGTTCTGGGTTCTTCATCTATTTTGAGAACCCGACGAATAGCGTTCTGAAGTTCCCTTTGCAATCCAAACTGGTTCGCTCGACGTCGTAAATGGGGTGGTTCCTAATTTGTCAGAGCTGTCTGCCGAAGATGTTCTGGGTTCTTCATCTATTTTGAGAACCCGGCGAATAGCGTTCTGAAGTTCCCTTTGCAATCCAAACTGGTTCGCTCGACGTCGTAAATGGGGTGGTTCCTAATTTGTCAGAGCTGTCTGCCGAAGATGTTCTGGGTTCTTCATCTATTTTGAGAACCCGGCGAATAGCGTTCTGAAGTTCCCTTTGCAATCCAAACTGGTTCGCTCGACGTCGTAAATGGGGTGGTTCCTAATTTGTCAGAGCTGTCTGCCGAAGATGTTCTGGGTTCTTCATCTATTTTGAGAACCCGGCGAATAGCGTTCTGAAGTTCCCTTTGCAATCCAAACTGGTTCGCTCGACGTCGTAAATGGGGTGGTTCCTAATTTGTCAGAGCTGTCTGCCGAAGATGTTCTGGGTTCTTCATCTATTTTGAGAACCCGGCGAATAGCGTTCTGAAGTTCCCTTTGCAATCCAAACTGGTTCGCTCGACGTCGTAAATGGGGTGGTTCCTAATTTGTCAGAGCTGTCTGCCGAAGATGTTCTGGGTTCTTCATCTATTTTGAGAACCCGGTGAATAGCGTTCTGAAGTTCCCTTTGCAATCCAAACTGGTTCGCTCGACGTCGTAAATGGGGTGGTTCCTAATTTGTCAGAGCTGTCTGCCGAAGATGTTCTGGGTTCTTCATCTATTTTGAGAACCCGGCGAATAGCGTTCTGAAGTTCCCTTTGCAATCCAAACTGGTTCGCTCGACGTCGTAAATGGGGTGTATTAAGGTCTTCAGCCAGTTGTTTCATGAAATTCAGTGTGGGCACCTTTCTCTGAGATTGGTTCATGCTGCTAATGATGTACGCATTTGCTGCAGAAATATCCAGCATTCTATAGAAGACCGCCATTGGCCAGCGCTGTGTGCGTCGAGAAGTTGAGTAAATGGCACATTTCTGATCTAATGTACCGACGCCACCTTTGGTGCTATTATAGAAAATAATCATTTCTGGCTTTTGCTTTTGTGGATCGATGGTTGGTGAGTGATGCATGCTGGAAAGAACAAGCACGGATTTGTTTTGCTTTGGTACAAAAGATAGCAATGTTGCATCTGACGTGAATCCAAAAATTGAAGAGCCAACGTCCCGGCTAGGCAAAAATTGAGGAGGTGAAGTACCTCCTTTTATTTTTTTTAAGGGTGCCCACAAGTGTCAGCTGTTTTTGCTTTAGGATGTTCATTAGCTCTACCGAAGTGAACCAGTTATCAGTCGTTACATTTCTGTGGGTTCCTTCAATCGACGCAACCAATCGCAAAACCGCTTACGTGGGTTTGTTCAGTCTTTGGTATTCAATGAGCAAGCCTTGGTTATCTGAGTCTTTTCCCAAGTATATGTAGGCATCCACAAGGTATCCATTTTTGGCATCATAATTTCACATAATTTTTAATCCATATTTGTTGGGTTTTTTCGGCATGTACATTTTAAAGCTGCACCTCCCACGGAAAGCCACCAACATCTCGTCAATACAAGCGTAACTGCCAATTGAACAAACTTCTTTGCAGTTTTGTATCATCTTTTCAAAAAGCTGAGATATAGGTGCAGCTTTATCAGTGCTACGGCGTTCATCTCTGGTGCTCGCATCAACCAAACGAAGGCAATTCAGCAATGTTTCGAACCTGTTCTTGCTCATTATACAACGATAAATCTCTCTTCCTGTACCATCTGTGCTGTACCAACATGTGTAATGTGTGTGGTTCTCTTTGAAAATTGAGGTATAGTACAACATACCGATAAAAGCCTTTAGCTCAATTACGTCAAGGTCTTGAACACATGTCTGGTTTTGATAGTTAGGTCTTATCTTTCTAATTTTTTCGTTAGTATGCTTTACAATTTCTTCTAACATATCATCAGTAAAAAATAAATGCCATAAATCGGATGATGTTGTATTACTTTTTAAAAAATCTCTGAAGTTCCTTTTCAATCCTGGAGGTTGCTGAACGATGTTGTGTTGCAAAGTCCTTGATCGCGAAACTGGAGATTGAGACGACCAACGGAACCGATTTTTTCCGAAATAGTTCAGGTATCTTGACAATGGAACATCATTATCGGAAGATGCATCATCAATTGATGTTGAAGAGTTAAATGAATATGACGATACAAATTATCGTCATATTCATTTAACTCTTCAACATCAATTTCAGAGTCTGATTGACACTCACCATCAATGACGTGGTCTAATGGTACATCTTCTACATCACTGCAGTCTTCATTTGGTAATTCCGGCACGTCCCTTTCATCCTCGGAATCTAATTCACACTCTTCTAATGATATTTTGATCACGTTCAGACATGATATACCTAAAAAACAACACTAAGATGTTAGCACTAAAAGTAACGTAACAACGTAACGTCGGTCACCATGACCGCATGAAATATATTTACCTGTATTTTTTTATTGCGCGCACGTGTTGCTTGGTCGAGCGCAGGGCGAAAACTGGAGAGGGCGGGGAAAAAGTACATAGAGTCACAGGCGCGTGGCCCGTGTAATAACGGAAATATTTGAAAAAATATATCGCCTGGAGTCACTGTGACCGACGCTAGGTGGTTAAGGGTTACATCTCTTTAAACGGCTACCTTCTTAACCATCAGCGAATTACTAAAAAAACCGATGAAAAATAAAACAAGTTAGTGATATAAAATGGAATTTATTTCAATTACTCTAAACTTAGCAAACTAATCTGTATGAGATGTATCTTCCAGCAGTTTCTGATGACCTGATAATCTTCACTACCTGTAAAATAAACCCATACAAGAATTTCACAATTGTATAGGAAATTCCTAGCAAAGTCGGGCTCAATAATGTGTAAGAATTCGATAATGTCTAGCAATTTTCTGACCATAATAGAATGACGGTGTAAGGAAATACCTTTATTGATTTCGTTTGGCGTAAGAAGTCACGAAGATTTTATAGCTTTCAATTTATAGACATTGCTTTCATGCCCAAATAGGCTTTCGTTTGTAAATTTTAATATCTTTTCAATCTACAACCAATTTAAAATTAGGATGGTGTTATCGAAAAAGGCCTATGTTCAGCAGTGGACTTGTAAAGGACTGTAATGATGATGATTATGCCACTGATTATGAATACAGTTAAATAATACCATGTCGAGATTAATTTATATGAGTATATTTTGATATTTCAAAAATATGTGAGATATACGGACAGACATACAGACATATACATTTACGTGGTATACAGACATACATATACAGACACATACACATTTACGTGGTAGAGCCAAACCGCAGTTTTATTATGGTTGTAGCTCGACCGGGGAAGGACCACGCTCTCACAGAATACCAGAGTAAAATAGCAGCTTAACGCTGCTGTGTTTCGTATGGTGAGTGTTGAAAACCGGAGACCCTTTTTACTCGATACGAGGCATTCCATCTTAGTCCTCAGGGGTGCATCTGCATTTTGATTCTTAATTGAAGATAGATGTAAATGTCTACTAAATATGGACCACAGCATTCACTTACCATCAGGTGGGCTGTGTGCTCGCTTGTCACCCTTATTCTATAAAAAATAAATACAGTGGCGTAACGTTTCGTAACGAGCCGCGGGTTTGAAGTTTGAACGCCGCAACTCGCGAGTGAGATCGGAAAATAGGTTTTCAAAGCACCTAGGGCTCCCATAACACTAGCCGGAATATTTTGTGGTCTCCTATTGACTAAAAATAACATACTTAGACCACCAAAGAAGCAGCGTAAATGTTTCATCATCATCATCATCATTACAGTCTATCATAAGTCCACTGCTGAATATCCACTACTCCCCCAAGGAATGCCACAATGCACGATCCTGAGCTACCTGCATCCATCGACTTCTCTCTGCATCTTACTAGGTCATCTCTTCATCTAGTTTGTAAATGACATGATGACGTGACAAGATGAAGATGACAGCAAATTTTCATCCCTACTGTGAGAACCACTTATATCAAGCAGTGGACTATATATAGGCACAGTGGTTCAAAAGAATCTTGGTCACACACTTCATTCTGTGAGTTGCGGCTATTGAATTGATTAGCAAAGTATAGCTACTAATGCCAAACTCAAATCAACAAGACAAAATGCTGATTTGGTATTTTCAAATGGTATATCCATTACGCGCCAACTTTATGTCCTCGTAAAGCAATGAAACAGTTACATCTGTCTATTGGTAAAGCGTAGTGTGTAGATAATGCATCGAGCATTTAACCCGAATAGAGTAGTAATGTGAGCCATCCAATTCCGAAACTGATCAGTGATTTGTCACTGATAAATATCAATTCACGCTCGCCCTAAAACAGTACCTCACCAACAAGTGATCTGTGTGTATGTTCCCGATACTCCCGAAAATATTCAAAGTTTGGTATATTAAACCCCATAATGTCGTGTTGTTCTATTCGGTGGTGTGGAAAAAACAGCAAGACATCCAATTATAAAACAGACGGAATCACGTTTCATCGGTAAGTATCAATAAACTTTGATTTTGCTTCAATTTACATCCATTTAATACGGCTCAAGTTAAACTGGCCATTTAGAATGAAACACTTGGACGCTTGTCTATGCGTCTTGCTCTTACCTAGGTGTAACCAATATAAGCCATCTCATTTTATTTATTACGTGTTTACTAGTGCTGCGTCATAATTAAATTACCGGATTATACCGTTTTTTTTATTTTACCGGATATTTACCGGAACAGGTTATTTGTTTAAACAAATAAGTAGATGTAATAAATTGAATACATTTCAAGACAAACTTTAAATAAGTCGATCTAGAGTGAGTAGTAGGTAGTGAGTTACTTTGTCGATTAATTTAAGCACACCAGACCTCAGTACAAAAATATTCTACTAATAATAATACAAATCCTACTAAAAATATAAATCTGAAAGTTTGGCTGTTTATATGTTGGGATGTTTGCGTGTCACGCTAAAAAAACTGAACGAATTTGAATGAAATTTAGCACACAGACAGGTCATATCCCGGTTTTCCCCTCGGAAACGGGAACTATGCGAGTGCAACCGCGGTGCGCTGCTAGTAATATAAAATAAATAATAATCTACAAAATTTCAGTCAGCTACTTTAATTAAAAGTTATAATGATGGTAACTAATAATGACTAAGTTAAAAATGACTGTAATTGAAGTTACTTTTAGACAAAATCTACACAGGGACGTCTATAATTTAAACAGAATTTGTAAATTAAGCATAATAGAAACTGAAATAGCCGGCGAGTCTTTTTAAAAAGTAATATTTTTCACATTTTTTTTAATTTGTTTTTTTTTTAGGTTTCCTAAGGATCCGAATCTTAAAGAACAATGGATAGATTGTGCGAAGAGGGAAAACTGGTTTCCAAGTAATTATAGTGTCATTTGCTCCAGACATTTTACAGAAGATTGTTTTTATACATCAAAAAGTCGCCGCCGCTTGTTTGATACCGCAATTCCTACACTAAATTTGCCTGTAGTGGTAAGATATATAATACATAATCTATTTTATTCAACTTCATTATCAGACCTATTGTCTTTACAGACTCGATATATGTATAATTTTGTTTTCTTTGTAGAGTAACATATTAGTTCCAGAAGATGCAAGTCCGATACCATCATCGTCTTCTCAAAAGGACTCGATATCAACTACACCAAGGGGAAGTAAACGAAAAGCTACCGAACCTGAAACTCCTTCAAAGTTTCACTCTCCGACCAAAAAACGTCTTTGCAGACGTGTTTTGCAGTTAACAAGTCAAGTTAAGCATAAAAATAAAACAATTAAGGTATTAAGGGACAAAGTCCGTTACTATAAAAAAAGAGTGGCATCTTTAAAAGTTATAATAAAGGAATTAGAAAAGAAAAATCTCATTAAAGCCGAAGACGCAGATATTTTAAAAAAAATTGGTGTACTTAATCAAGAAATCGTTCATCGTCAGTATCTGAAATGTAAAACGGGAAAAATTATTAAAAAGAAATATTCGCCTGAATTGAGAACTTTCGCTCTCACATTGAACTTTTATTCATCAAAAGCTTACAAATATGTAAGAAATACCTTCAATACTTGTTTACCTTCCATGCGAACACTAACAAAATGGTACCAGACTGTGGACGGTAGGCCGGGTTTCACAAAAGAGGCTTTCAACGCCTTAAAAGCCAGAGCAGAAACATCAAAAGAAGAGTTGATGTATACCCTTGTATTCGATGAGATGAAAATAAAAAGCAAGGTAGAATATGAACCATCAACTCAACGTTCATTCGGCTACGTGGATGTTGGTAATCAACTGGAAACTGACTGCAATAATGAATGCACAGAAGCACTAGTGCTTTTAGTAGTACCATTCAACGGAAGTTTCAAAGTACCAATTGGTTACTTTCTAATCGATAAAACCAGTGGAGAACAAAAAGCTAACCTGGTAAATATTGCTCTTGAGCTGTGCCATGAAAACAAAATTACTGTCAAAGCATTGACCTTCGACGGCTGTCCAGCAAACTTGGCAATGGCAAAGCAACTAGGATGCAAATTACAAAAAGAGCAGCTAAAGACGAGCTTTAAACATCCTGTGACGAGTGCTAATGTTTTCGTATTTTTGGATCCCGTGCATATGCTCAAATTGGTCAGAAATACTTTTGAAAAATATCAAGAATTTCAAGATGAGAACGGCAACACTATACGATGGGATTACCTAAAATTATTACAGGAGCTCCAAGAAAAAGAGAATTTTCACCTAGCCAATAAGTTACGCGCTGAACACATTTATTTTAAAACGAATATAATGAAAGTAAAATTAGCTACACAATTGTTCAGTCGCAGCGTAGCTACAGCATTAGATTTTTGCGAAGTAGAGTTAAAATTGACAGACTTTCAAGGAGTTGGTGCGACATCCAGAATGATCCTACTCATAAACGATCTATTTGATATTTTAGATTCCAGAGTTCACGGGTATGGATACAAACGGGCTTTGAATTTTGATAATCATACTAGAATCTTCGATAGACTAGAGGAATGCAAAAGGTTTTTGGTGACTGTCACTACAAAAATAATAATACGAAAGAAGACGCAACAAGTAAAATTGATAGAATCACCACGGTTTACTGGATTTCTAGGTTTCTGTGTTGCAATCGAAAGTACTAAAGGTTTATTTAAGGATTTAATTTGTGATGAAAATTGTCCTATAAGATACTTACCTATGCACAAAATTTCACAGGATCACATAGAACTCTTTTTTGCTAATATGAGATCACATGGTGGTTCAAATGACAATCCTACATCCCGCTTATTCGAAGCCATTTACAAGAAATGCTTAATTCATACAGAATTATTACAAACATCGTCGGGTAACTGCATACCGTTAGAGAAGATATCAATTCTTAATTGTTCTTCGGCAATCACAAGAATAAACTTGACCACTCACAGCGAAACTGAGCAGACTGTTAATGATGATTATCATGAAAACGAAGAAGAATTTAATATTCGGATGGAAGCTGTGGAGCTTTCACAGTTTTCTGAGAATGTGATAGAATACATAGCAGGGTATGTGTCTAGCGCACTAATTAAACGTATTAAATGCGCCACTTGCGTGCAAGCATTAGTATGCTTGTCAGAAAATAAGAGAAGTTTAATTTTTTACAGAGATAAGGGGCTTAATATATCCATCAGTTAACGTGCAAAAAATTTGCCGCCGTTCAGAGCAATTCATAAAAAAATTTTTCATTGAGAGTGTAGACATAGTACGACGATGTACAAGTGACTTCTTAGTTCACAAAACAATGAGCAGTTTTGTAGGAGAAAAACTATTTCCCGAATATGACTACCACCAAAATTACACAGAAGAGACAAACCATATAACTGATTTAGCTCAAAGTATCATAAAAAAATATGTAGATACGAGACTAACATTCCTCAGTAAAAGAAAGAAATATAACGAGAAACAAGCAGTGAGAAGAATTTATACTAAATTAATTCACTTTAAAAACCAGTAATAGTAACGCATAAGTAACATTTAAATCTTGAATTTATTATACCTATAACTACATAAACAAAAATATTGACATTTTGCGAGTTTTTCCTTAATTTTTCATATGATACAATAGTTTTATTTCATTAATTTTTTATAATTTCATTTATAACCTTAAATTCAATTTTATTTCATTTATTACTATATTTTTTTAAGTATGGAAGTTTCATTTAAAAATTTATTATTTCGAACACAAGCACGAACACACATATAAACATACACACACGTACTTACACCTCCATATACTCTTACCTAATAGTCCTAAATAAAATATATTTGTAACAAAAAAATTATATATAAATCCGTTATGTACCTACTTAACTGGTCCCATAATACTTACCTGACCCATAAGGGTTTCGTTTTTTCCTTTTCAGGTACGAAACCATAAAAAAGGTCAGGCTTTATAACAACTTTCGATCAAAACAACCTTTTGACTAATTTCAACATATATTATTACAATTTTAAGATATATTATTACAATCTACCGAAAAATAATGCGTTACATTGTAAACAGTATGTTACGGGTTCACAATCTTTCAACAGTTTACATACTCGCGAGATAGATATTAAACTTACGATTACGATTTTTACGGTTTACGGTAACAAATATTTTATTGGACAGCTCTAGTGCAATACTTGACTCTGAATCGGCCAATCAGAGCGCAGCGACCGGCGCAGCGTTTTGGCGGAATTTGTTTTCTTACAAAACAAATAACAATACCGCTCTATTCAGGTTAAATACTCGATGAGATAATGTTACCATTTGAAAATATTGATTGATCTGTTCATAAATGCTAGTCTTTCTGACTTATTATAATAAAATTAGTAATAGCGTTATTATAAAAATACCGTTAACATAAAATATGTGTATATAATAGTAAAAATACATAAATATGATAGTATAGACTAGGTTAAGCAGAATTTGTGTATACACACCTGTCCTCTTTTTAGACCAAAGTATCTTGCCACTGGATCACCTGCTTGAATCCTCATCAACATATTTTCCTTTAATTTACTGAGTGTGAGTTAATTGAATTATTCTTATATTATATTCTATCATCTTAAATATATTAATCAAATTAAAATATCTCTAATTTCTACTATATGGAAGATACAATGTACAATGTAACTTATATTACATAATAAAGAATATAGGTGTATATTACAGAAACAAACATCAACCCTTACATTTTCCATCTGTCTAATATTTCACCATTCTAAAGTGGCGCCGCCATGGTGGCAGAAAAAGACGTGAATCTTTAGTTCGCCACGCTGTGCTGCCCCAGTGCAGTGCCGTGTTGGCGAACTTCCCACATCATCGACATATTTTTATCCCTCCGAAATGCAGATTGCCGAGCATGTGGTAAAACAACACTTGATTAACAACTTTATTAGCGTCGGCGAGGATCGAACCCAGGATAATGGGGTACGGTGAAAATAATGGCAAGCGCCTAGCCCCTGAGCTGCCATAGCTAGACCGACGGCGGTTTCTTACTCTAGTATTAGTATTATTATTTTGGGGTATCTATAAAGTTTTCTCATCTGGTTGGGCAGTATAAATATATAATTGTAAATGAAAGTGGTAAACATACATAAATATGAATAAAATAAAATAAATACATAAAAAATACATAAATATATAAAAACCCAACCAGATAGAAGCCCTCGGCAGGGGAGACCAGACGGCCGAGGGTTAGGGGGAAAGGGAAAGAAACCGGCGGACGATGCGGGCGGTATCGAGGAGCACCGCCTTCTGCATTTGAGCCTGGAGCGGTCCGTCACGGAGTCCCAGTCGCCTCAGATGACCCGGGAGGCTGACTGGGATTAACCCGTTCGCAGAAACGACCACAGGAATAATTTCGGTCGGCAGACCACCCCACATGCCGGTAACCTCGTGAGCCAGGTCCAAATATTTTGTCACCTTATGTTTCGGCTTTCACGAGGTTCTCGTCATAAGGAATGGTAATGTCGACCAAAAAGAACCTTGACTGTACCCGGTCCATCAGCACAATATCAGGCTTATTCGCAAGAATAGTCCTGTCTGTGATGATGGCCCGGTCCCAGTAGAGCCTGGCGCGGTCATTTTCGAGCACGGCTTCCGGCAAGTACTTATAATACGCCAGAGTCCGATCCACGAGGCCGTATTTCAGAGCGAGCTCCTGGTGTAGAATCCTGGCTACTAGATTGTGTCTGTGCAAATACTCAGAGTTAGAAAGCGCCGAACAACCGGAGATGACATGCCTAAGTGACTCACCGGGATGGCGACAAGCTCGACAGATGTCGACGGCGCCATCCTTTAGGATGTATCTCCGATAATTGTTGGTCTTAATAACCTGATCCTGTATCGCACAGACAAAACCCTCGATTTCCCCAAAGAGGTCACCGAAACGTAGCCAGTGAAGGGAGGCGACTGTGTCTACGAAAGGCTCATGTAGAGCCTTGTAGAACCTCCCGTGGAGCTCCTTCTCCTTCCATACGGCCTCCCGGTCGGAAATGCACTGTACTGCTGGGTCTTGCCATTGCTCGTTGGCTAAGGATAGAGGGGTCAGTCCTTTATCACAAGAAATAACGTCCCTATAGTATGGATCATCCGCTCTCCTCAGAAAGTAATTACGGAGGCTGCACACTTCGCGATTATGCATGGTAAGCGCGCTTAAAAAGCCGCGCCCACCATGCTTCCGCGGCAAGTACAGCCTCATTACTGACGATCTCGGATGATGCATCCTGTGGGACGTCATTATAGTGCGGACTTTTCTGTCCAGAGCGTTTAGTTCGGTCTGCGTTCACCTAAGTATGCCAAAGGTATACATAAGAACAGGCATGACCCAACCGTTATATGCGTGCGTCTTATTCACACCGGACAAAAGGCTGTTAAGCACTTTGGTCAAGCGTGCATAAAGCACATCGCAAACTGACTGTTTCATACCCGCCTCATCAACACTGATGTTCTGTGACATACCCAAGTATCGGTATGTTTCAGCCTCGGAAAGGGTCCTTATGTTGATGGGCATAGATAAATCTATGCCCTCAGAGTTAGCAACCCTTCCCCTTTCAACATGGAGGACCGCACACTTATCCGTCCCCAGCCCCATTCCAATAGAATTGCTAAAATCACAAGTGATGTTTAGCAATTCCACAAGATGAGAGCGACTGGAGGCGAATAACTTGAGATCATCCATATAGAAAAGGTGGGTCACTTTTGTACCTCCCCTCCGAAGCTGAAATCCCCTCCCGGAGCCCTCCAGTAAGGTACTGAGAGGGTTCAGAGAGAGGCAGAACCAGATTGGACTCAGACAATCGCCCTGGAAGATACCCCTTCTTATCCTTATGTGGTTCTCCCCAGCCGTCATCCGCTCGCCTAGATGACAAAGGATCGTACTCCACTGCCCCATACACTGCCCGAGGAAGTCTCTAACTGTACAGTCAACCTTGTACAGCTCGAGGACCCTCTTCAGCCATGTATGAGGCACCGAGTCGAATGCCTTTTTGTAGTCTATCCAGGCGGCGGATAGGTTCCGACGGTTGCGTTTAACCACTTTGCCAATGACCGCGTCAATGAGGAGTGGTTCCTTGGTTCCACGACCACCGCCCCGACATCCATTTTGAGCGCGCGACATCACCTGATTTGAGTTCAGGTGACGAGTGATTCTCGCGCTCAAAATGGATGTTAGTGTCTTATATATCGTGGGTAGACACGTGATGGGGCGGTATTTGCTCGGGTCTATGGTATCCCGGTCTTTAGGAACCAAATGAGTGATCCCAGTAGTGAAGAGGCTCGGGAGCGACTTTTGGTCGAGAGCCTCTTGAAACTGTCGGGCGAGAACAGCGTGACACACCACGAACCCCTTCAGCCAGTAGTGATGCAGTCCGTCGAGTCCCGGACTTTTCCAGTTCGGGGCCCTACGGACCGCCTCAGCTACGTCAGCCGGCGTAATGATGACGGGGTCCATGGGCGTAACATTCGCACACTGACTCGCCACAACTTCCGTCCAAGGGCCCTCACTGTGGTTTACGGGCTCTGACCACAGGCCGCGCCAGAATGCGACAGTGTCGGCCTGATTCGGTGCTTGGCCCGTTCCACGTACCATTGGTCGCTCCAATGATTTATATAGCCTCTTCTGATCACTCTGGAAGAGACGATTCTGGTTGAACCGTGTCGACCTCTCGGTATATCGCCGAATCCGCTTCCCCCAAGCAGCGATTCTCTGCTTCAGGTCGTCTATGCGCTCCGTCAGTTTTTGCGTTATATCCGGCTGGGACAAACTGATATTTGTCCCAGCAAACGCCATTCTGACGGTGCGCACAATTCGCGGCCTATTATTGCCCGACCTGAAGCTTATCAGCCTGCCGATGAGGGCCCTTGCCTTTACGATACGGTCCTCAATCCTTATTCTCCAGGCTGGGGTGGCGCTACTTTGTCTAGTAGCGCGTCCAGCCGTGGGAAGTTTGGCGCCAACAATACGGCAAACTGCCAGTGCGGCGCCAAAAAGAATTGAGTCCGTCTCGCAAAGATCCCGGCTGGCTTCCAAATAGGTCACCAGCATTGGGTTGAGAGCCCTCACGACCCGATTCCGCTTGCTTAGGGGTATGCGCGGGAGTCGCGGTCGATTTTCGAGAGGCGTACTGCGCGTTTCCACAATCGCCTCCTCCAATTTACTCCTCATCTGCTCTAGTTCTTGGGTGACCATTCCATCATCGCCTGAATCAACCAGAGCAGGGAGATCCATGGCGCCCTCTATATGTGGCTGCTGGTCTGTGGCCTGAAGAGCCACGTCCCCAGCTATAGCCGGTTCATTCGATGAGGGAATAGCCTCACGTCGTAGTCGTTCGAGTTCGGCATCATCAAATATTTTCGAGTGTATGATGTACCGAACTCGGTCTGCCAGGTTTTGCTCCGTGACGGGAACTAACGGCTCAAGCTCAGCAAAAAAGCGATGCATCCGAGCCCGATACGCTATCCCTCCAGTTTCTTCCCCCTTCGCCCTATAGTACACCCGCAATGCGTTTATGTTCATATTTTTTGTCCAACGCATGCGGCGTACTCCACCAGCGGCGGGTGCCGCTTGCCGAGTCCGAGAGGACCCCGCCGACACCAAGCCATCTGGTGGGGATGATGGACGCGAGGGGCTGCTAGGTGGTCGTGCAGCACCTCGCGCTCGGCTGGCGGCTCGCATGCTGTCACGTCCAGCGCCAGCTCCAGACGCGCCCCGGCGACCCCGAGGCAGCGGCCCTATGCGCGCTCTATTATTTTCCATTATCCATTAAATTGGGCGTCAATTAACGGGAGACGCCCAGACCCGGCGCCGTTTAATAGTGAAATTAGTATTATTATTATTATTATTTAGTATTATTATTTAAATAACGTTTTAAAACTGGATTTTAGTATGTTAAGGTGGTACGATTTGTGTATTAAATGTCTGCGCATGTGAACTTCTACAGGAAACAAGTCCCACTGGGTTTCATTCTGAACACCCAACACAAAGTTTTTTCCAAACCAGTGGTAAAACTATATTTAACCTGTACGTAAAGACACTCAAGCTTGCATTACGAGGGGAGGTCAAAAAGTTCGTGGAATGGCAGGGTTGGCGGGGGTGAGTTTACTCATCCATGTAGGTATATATACCAAGTTTCAGTCTAATCAGGTCATTAACTTTTGAGTTATCAACGAGTAAACAAGTTAATCGGGCAGAAACTAGCCACTATGGAGAAAATTGAATATAGCGCCGTCATTAAGTTTCTCACCAAACAAAGAAAGGCACCTCAAACCATTTTTCAAGAGATGTCAGCTGTTTATGGGGACTCCGCTCCTGGGAAAACCATAATTTATAAATGGCACGCCTTTTCAACCAAGGAAGGGACTCCATTGAAGACGACCCATGACCTGGACGGCCGATTGAGGCCACCACGCCAGAAATAATCGTAAAAGTTGAAAAACTTGTATTGAAAGATGCCCGGCTAAAGATAAATCAACTTTGTTTTTTTTTTGTTTTATATTGTATTTTAAAAACGTTACCCCCACACTAGAATTTTCTCCTGTGTCATGGAGGCAGTTTACAAACGTAAATTGCACAAGGACAAACATCCAGACCCGGAACAATTATTTGTAGGCCATACAAATACTTGTTCCGTGCGGGATTCGAACCCGCGGCTCCCAGCGCAACAACTGATTGCTAAGCCACTGCGCCACGGAGCCGTCAAACTTGCAGCATTAGTTGGAGTATCAGAAACAAACATTTTAAACATCCTACATCAACACCTTGGCGTGACTAGTCTTTGCAAGATGGGTTCCTAGAATGCTTTGTGCACATGAAAAACACGAGCGCGTCGAAAGTTGTCGCGAGTTTTTGGACCGCTGTGGAGAGCATAGGGAAGAAATTATGGCTCGAATTGTAACTAGCGATAAAACTTGGGTTCACGATTATGAACCTGAGTCGGAGCAAGAATCGATGCAGTGGCATAAAAATAGGCACACCCCCTCCTAAGTAGTATAAGGTATCTCAATCGGCCGGAAAGATCATGGCGACGATCTTTTGGGATACAGAAGGTATCCTTTTGATTGATTATAAGGAACGTGGTGTTTCCATAATGGGAGACTACTACGCTTCTTTATTAGATCAATTAAAAGAAGCCATTAAAGAAAAAATGCGAGGAAAGCTTACAAAAGGCGTGCTCCTTTTGCACGACAATACGACCGTGCACACAAGCCATGTTGCGATGGCTGCCAATTACCGGTACAGTTTTGAACAACGCGCCACCCACCAATCTAAAAAAAAAAAGATTTGTCTTGGGCGTCAAAATAGGCTGAAATTGTCGACTTTACTTGAGCATCGTCGCCAAATTTTTGCCATGCAGTTCTTTCTTAAATTTTGGAAACAATGAGCTGTAGACTTTTTTTTAGACTGTATTAATAAGTTATATGAGAGATCTAATAAATGTATTAAGGATAAGTTAGAATAGAGAGAATATTGAAAAGGAAAAATAGTTTAATATTTCATTTCATTATCCTTCACTGTCATTCCGCAAACTTTTTGACCTCCCCTCGTATATGTGTGACAACTAACTCAATATTATTTGTAGATAAGATAAACGAGCCCTTTCATATAACCTGTCAGTATTACACGAAACTGAGAAAAGATAAAACCAAACCATGTGGTAACAACATAAGATAATATGACACCCCTTTTTTACCTCAGGCAATTATCGTGTAGTGGTGGCGCAAGTATATTCACTACAATATGTCATCCTGTGGGTGTCTTAAGAGGCGACAAAGAAAAATATAGGAGATGGACAGCAGCGTCTTCCTAATAATGACTATAAATAAAACAACTGTGGTTGCCAACCTGCTTGCCAAGCGTGGAAACTTTTATTTTATAGGAGAGCAAACGAGCATACGGCCCACCTGACGGTAAGTGACTACCGCCGCCCATGAAGAACTGCAACGCTAGGGGAATTGCAGATGCATTGCCGGCCTTTTAGAAAGGGGTAAGCTGTTTTCTAGCAGGTCCCTAAGTCATATCGGTCCAGAAAACTCAGCAGTGGTGAACTATTCCACAGAGAGGTTGTACACGGAAGAAAACTCCTAATGAAACGTACATTGGTGGACCGCCAAGCATCCAGATGGTGTGGATAGTATCGGGAGTTTAAACTATGGCAAATATTCCCCTCATGAGGCAATCTATGCCCTATATGTTCAGCATGCTATGTTCAGCAGTGGACTTTAAGAGGCTGTAATGGATGTGATAGAAGGCAATATGATTATAACAAATCTTCTATAATGGGGACAAACACATTTAGCAGTAAATTTTTACATGTTGATGAAGAAAAGAGCCCAAAGCTATGGTCAACTTCTTAAGACTTTCCTCAACTTTTTAAGTTTGGCCAAATTCAATATGGCATTGACACAAAAATAACCATTAGTTGAATGCAACAATAAGAGATATAAATAATAAAATATTAGAGAGATTAATTAAACATTTTAAACATTTTCCTATTTTTGTTTATAGTGACAAACGTGCACACAGTCCACCTGATGGTAAGTGGTTGCTGTGGCCCATAAACATTTACACCTATCCTCTATTACACAAAAGTATGTAATGTTTATACTTGTACAAAAAAAATTGGACTATGTATATTTCTTTAAAATATAAAATGAATATAATATTTAATAAAAGGATACTATCTTGCTAATAACTCTTGTTTCTCATCGGGTGTTAACACAATATGTTCAGGTACCAACTCATGCTCTGTTATATTGATTAGCAACTCAGATTCTAGAAATTGTTCTAAAATATATTTTGGAGCCATGTCTACTAGAGACTGTTTTGCTGAAGGTGTCATTCCTGAAAATAATAATATTTTTTATTATATCTTTGTTTTTTGTGTTTTTTGACCAAAACAATTACGCGCGGGGGGGGGGGGGGAAGGGAACATCGGAATAGAGATTAGTGATTAGAGGAAGCGTGGGGGAAAGAAGCGGGTTGCAGGCACCAAAACCACATTTGTGTCATGTGTCTCATTGTTTTGGCCTTTGTTAATTGTAGTTGTAGAAATTTATACCTACCTCAGACAAAGTACATAATATAGTATCAAATTCATAAATAACATTTTTCTCAAGGTATAACAGATACTACATTGTGGAATTTGGATAGTTATTTAAAGAAAAAAAAGATTTAATTAAGTTTATTAATGATATATTTTGTGATGTCTGATTGATGTGAGAATATGTGTAACCATGTACTGGCAGTTTAAGAATATTCACTGCCCCATATTGTCCCATGGCTGTCATGAAAGACGACAAAGAAAAACAAGCCAGATGGTAAGCATTCTCTTTCTAATAATAACTAGAAAACAAAAAATGCAGTTGCCAACCCACCTACCAACTATGGCAAATATCCCCTCTATGGGGCAATGTATGGAGAGGCCTAAGTTCAGCTGTGGACTTTGAAAGGCTTTTTAAGCATAAAGATGACAAATGAGCACAGTCCACCTGTAAGTGGATGCCGTGGCCCATAGACGTCTACATTTATCCTCGATTAAGAATCAAAATGCAGAAGGTTTTCACCCTTGAGGACTAAGATGGAATGCCTCGTTTCCAGTAAAAAGTCTCCAGTTCTCTACACTAACCATACAAAATACAGCAGCATTTAGCTGCTATTTTACAATGGTATACTGTGAGTGTGGTCGTACCCTGGTCAAGTAAACCCATTTGTTCTACAACCATAATATAAGGCTCTACCATGTTTAAAATGTTGCCAGTGATCTGAGACATGGTTTTTCACTGCTGGCCATATGAGGAAGTTCAAGGTGGCTTAGCAAGGTAAAAAGAGATAAACTTTTTATTATTTTTAGTTATTATCAAAAAGATGCCACTGTCCACCTTCTTTTAATTTTCCATGGCTCAGTGGCTTAGCAATGAGTTGCAGCGCTAAGGTCGCAGGTTCGAATCCTACACAGAACAAGTATTTGTATGGCCTACAAATGTTCTGCATCTGAATGTTTGTCCTTGTGAAATCAATGTATGTAAACTGCTCCCACAATATAGTAGGAAATCCTAGTGCGGAGGTAATGTTTAAAAAGAAGAAAAAAAAGAAGAAGTAAAAGTGGATTTTCCGGCTTAGCTTTATATTGACGTCAGTGGAGTTTGGTCTTGATACGTATTTTTACAGAAAGATTACACTATTATAAGCACACACACAAAGTCTCAATATACAGAAACGCGTAATTTTTGAGAAAAGAATAATCGAAAATCAATTATTCTTGCAATGTTTATGTCTAATCTGCTAATAAACTGGCGCCATTTTGTAATGTCATTGTCGACGTCAATAGGGATGTCGATTCTTTCCGAAAAAGGTCGATTTTTAAATCAATTCAAATCGTAAGCTAATGTATCGGTTCACAAAAAATCGATTTCTAAAATATCTATATTTGGTACGACTTTCCATTGACGTCAGTGGAGTATGGTGTTGATACGTATTTTTCCAGAAAGATTACACTTATAAGCACACACACAAAGTCTCAATATACGGAAACGCGTAATTTTTGAGAAAAGAATAATTGAAAATCAATTATTCTTGCAATGTTTATGTCTAATCTGCTAATAAACTGGCGCCATTTTGTAATGTCATTGTCGACGTCAATAGGGATGTCGATTCTTACCGAAAAAGGTCGATTTTTAAATCGATTCAAATCGTAAGCTGATGTATCGATTCCCGAAAAATCGATTTCTAAAATATCGATATTTTTTTCATGTTTGCGTTTATAATGTAAATATAAATCCATTTTATGAGAAAAAAAATCCCCTTCATCATAAAAAAATAAGGGGACTGATTCATAAGGATTTCTGTATTTATTTTGAGACTGCTACGTCTCCGGCGCTGCGGGAAGAGCAACCTCTACGCCTTAGCGTAACAAATCGCAGGCATCCCTCCTCGCCTCCGCAGCTTCGGCTTGTTGGTCGCCTTCGGCGACCAGCCTCAGCCGCTCCGGCTCTTCCGATGCCTATGATTTGTTACAGCAGGCGGAGGCTGCTCCCCCTACGCGCCTCCGGCTCTATAAAACCACTCTAGGGGTAGGAGAGACTCGTACCAGGTGGAGTCAGGGTCAATCAATTCGGTTCTTTGACATAAGTTGAACCTAACCTATTTTATTTGTTATCTGCCCTAATAGGTACTGTTAAATAAAACAAATTTCAATAAGAGATCATTTATCATGGTATCTTTCTTGTTTTTCATAAAATGGGTTTATATTTACATTATAAATAGAAATATTAAAAAAATATAGATATTTTAGAAATCGATTTTTTGTGAACCGATACATCAGCTTACGATTTGAATCGATTTAAAAATCAATCTTTTTCGGAAAGAATCGACATCCCTATTGACGTCGACAATGACATTACAAAATGGCGCCAGTTTATTAGCAGATTAGACATAAACATTGCAAGAATAATTGATTTTCAATTATTCTTTTCTCAAAAATTACGTGTTTCCGTATATTGAGACTTTGTGTGTGTGCTTATAATAGTGTAATCTTTCTGTAAAAATATGTATCAACACCAAACTCCACTGACGTCAATGGAAAGCTAAGCCATATATTTTTTTAATGTTTCTATTTATAATGTAAATATAAACCCATTTTATGAAAAACAAGAAAGATACCATGATAAATGATCTCTTATTGAAATTTGTTTTATTTAACAGTACCTATTAGGGCAGATAACAAATAAAATAGGTTAGGTTCAACTTATGTCAAAGAACCGAATTGATTGACCCCGACTCCACCTGATATGAGTCTGTCCTACCCCTAGAGTGGTTTTATAGAGCCGGAGGCGCGTAGGGGGAGCAGCCTCCGTCTGCTGTAACAAATCGTAGGCATCGGACGAGCTGCGGAGGCGAAGAGGGATGCCTGCGATTTGTTACGCTAAGGCGTAGAGGTTGCTCTTCCCGCAGCGCCGGAGACGTAGCAGTCTCAAAATTGATACAGAAATCCTTATGAATCAGTCCCCTTATTTTTTATGATGAAGGGGATTTTTTTCTCATAAAATGGATTTATATTTACATTATAAATGCAAACATGAAAAAAATATCGATATTTTAGAAATCGATTTTTGGGAATCGATACATCAGCTTACAATTTGAATCTATTTAAAAAATCGATCTTTTTCAGAAAGAATCGACATCCCTATTGATGTCGAAAATGACATTACAAAATGGCACCAGTTTATTAGCAGATTAGACATAAACATTGCAAGAATAATTGATTTTCAATTATTCTTTTCTCAAAAATTACGCGTTTCCGTACATTGAGACTTTGTGTGTGTGCTTATAATAGTGTAATCTTTCTGTAAAAATACGTATCAACACCAAACTCCGCTGACATCAATGGAAAGTCGTACCGATTTTCCTATGCCACCACTACACTGAGATACACCTACCTGCTTGAACTACTACAATTGCTCTGTGAATATTTTCCTCTTGCATTCTAGTACAATATGTCTTTATGGTTTTAATTCCTATTTTGGCCTCATCAGGGAAGAAAACAAACATTTGATCTGTGGGATCATCATTGTGTGCAACAAGAACAATTAAGTCACTTCTAGCAGGTCGCTTTTCACTAAAAAAAAAAATTTATATTTTGAGTGTATATTTTAAATATGTCAGTAAATATAAAAGTTTAAAATATCAATATCAACTTTTTCGTTGGAAGAAAAATAATTTGACAGTTTTAACAAAAATGTCAAAATTAATCATCTGCTTAGACTCACAACAATCACACAAATTCAGTTAATGTTAAAAATAACAAACAAAAATGCAAGTTATAGATGAAAAAATGAAGATAGACGTATTTAAAAACACTTTATCCAATACATCAAAGTTATATTTGGGTAAGTCTTGTATTATGTACCCAAAAATATGTACCTTGGCTTATCACCAAACTGTTCTTTGAACTGCTCCAATGTCTGGTCCAATTCATCTTGTGTTACTAAATAACCACGATCATGACAAAGCTGAAGTTTAAAAAGGGGAATAAGATTAATGTCTTTGTTATAAAAAGGGTTTAAACCCTTCATTTAAACTACTCAATACCTGCATAACAGTTTTACGAATTCTCCAAAGTTTATAAGTTTCTGCATCATCGTCCATAGTATTTAATTAGGTTATTTACGCTAATACTGGAGATAATGTACGTATATTAAGTGTGAAGATAATGTACGTATATTAAGTGTTTAAATACCAAAGTTTAAACTTAAAAACCACATAAATACTCTCCTAACCTCTCGACAGAAGTTTACAATTGCATAGATAACAAACTATATAGTATCTATTATTTAATCTGTGATAGTATATAGAAACAATAGATAAATATATATGTAACAAGCTAAATAGAAACACTCCATGTTCTGTGGAAACACAACGCGTTATAGATAAGGATAAGGTTGTTGTTGTTACGATTAAAACTGTAAAAAAGTATCAATTTTCCGATCGGCTTGAAGCACTACATCAATTCGATAATTCGATCCAAAAAACCTCTTGAATCGGACTGATTCAAGAACTAGCGATAAACAATTGTCTGGTGCGGTATCTTAGTTTTTTAATTTTTTGATGTTGTCAAACGCAAAAACAACCGGTCGTACTTGGTTGATAATTTGAACGAATAATATAACTATTTATGAACGCATCCAATGACGTCGTTACATGCGTTAGCATCATATTAGTCTGTGTTAATCACGTTACTTTTTTGGCGGGAACTTGACCGGCGGCGAATTGCTGCTCTTGTATTATTGTTTAAATAATGGTTTGAAGTGGAATTTGATATGTAAAAATGGTGCGATTTTGTGTATTAAATGTCTGCGCATATGAACTATTAGTGGAAACGGTGAAACAGGTGCTCTGATGGTGATGTGATTCTCAAGATAAGGTGTCTGTCTGCTTAGGCGCCTTGAGATACCATCGCCAACTGTCAGCTGTCTACTGGCTCAAGTTGCCTTGAAACTCTTCCAAGGGCTGCACAATGTGACACGCAACATATTGCGAAGCAGTGTACTATGAACGATAATTATTCATTGTAATTTCAGGCTCAGAAGGGCTAGAAACCAGAGCTGTAAAGCCCGTTATAAAAAAAATAAAAAAGATGTCACTTGTCTTTGTATTTTATACGTTATTATTTACTAAATACTTACCATTCTATAGAGTTCACTAAATATTCTGTGTACTTAACTATTACCTAAATTAGTAACTTAAGTACACTAAATAGGTGTCAATCGTGGCGAATCACTTTTCAACCTATTTATTTTAATAACAGTATTTTGTAAACGTCGCTTGCGTACAGCTGTTTTTTTTTTTTCAATTTATCTATGGCTTTTTATTGTATCGTATCCCTAATTGGCCTAAAGGTCTAGATGCCAGGCCATAAACTCCAAAAAAAAATCGTATCCCTAATACCAATTGTCATTTGTCATTACAAATAAAATAAAATCAATTTTTTGTTAGATGTAAGCTAAGAATAAGAATATATATTCGTAATTTGTTATTTAACAGTATGGCAGGAATTAAAGGTGAGATTCGTTTTTGATTTTAAGTTAATTGCAAATGACTATTTTATGTCAAATTATTCTCTTTGAGAATGAGTCATACATAATATTTTTTTATAATAAAATATTTACAAACACTTAATATAAGCATGAAGCTCATTGATTTTTATTTTTCTTTTTCATGCCGATTCGTCGACTTTTTTAGGGTAAGTACCTACACATGTTCAATTACTTTATAATAATATGATTTGTATTTATTTTGATCACATTATGGTAACAAATTATTACCTACACAGGTACACACTATATTTCATCCCTTACCTTATTAATTCTGATCTTAGTTCAATTGGTCTAAGGTGCAATGAGGTATAATTTTTAGTGAAAAATTAATTTATTTTTACATTATAATTATTAGTGTATTAACCCATCATCAATTAAATAATTGTAACAACATGGCTCTTAATGATTTTAAATTTGATCACCTCCACTACTCACCATATTAATATTTAATAATAAAAAATAATCTATGCAAAATACAATTTAAAGTCATATAAAATAAAGACATACAAATTATATTTTTTCATCATTTATTATTCGCATTTGTCTAACTATCTAGATGGCTTTCAATATGACAAGTAGTAAGAAATGGAAAACAATGGAAAAATTATTCTGAGGTATTATTTTAATAGTTATATATATTCAAACATAGTTCATTATATTTGCAAAGTTAACAATATTACTATATATATATATATATATATATATATATATATATATATTTTCACTAACTTAGATTATGTTAATTATTAACAAATGTGTATGGATATGTATATATGAAATAAACTTTGTTATTATTATTATAGTGTATATTTTTTTTAAACTTGTGTTCTTTAATTTTTAGTCTGGTTTCTCTGGCATTTGCTGGCTCCATTGGCATGACATTTGTTATACTGGCATGTGCACTGCCTCAGTTTAAGTAAGTATAATCTAACATTCTTAGTTTACTAAAAAGTAAGGGTCCCTTTATTTCTTACTTAAAGTTATCATAGTACATAATATATATAATATTGTTAAAGTATATGCAAAACATTAACTATTATATTACATAGTGATTTCATTAAAATTTGCCTTTTACCTAGTTCTCTTTAGTTAAGAATATATTTGTTTTTAAGCTCATCAAAAAGTAAGTGATATTTTGTTTGTTGTGTCATTATCATCATCAACATTAGTCTTCCACAAATCTACTGCTGAACATGAGTACTTCAAGGAATGCCACAGAACATGGTTCCAAGCTACCTGCATCCATTGACTTGCTGTATATCTTCTCATGTCTTACTAGGTTGTTGCTAGTCTATTGAGGAGCTCAATACTTACCAGTACAAGGCTGCATTATGAGAAACTTCCTTCCTTATCATTTGTAGGCTTTTTGAACTATATAGTTGGCTTATTGCCACTTCAGTTTGGTGGTCCATTGGGCTATGTAGGTTACTCAAGTTCTACTGTGAATATCATCCTGACAAATTTCATCATGTAAAGAAACTAAGCATAGCCATCTCCATAGCTTGCGACCTTAAGCTTCCCATATGGCCAGCAGTGAAGGGTCAAGTCTCAGATCCATATTTCATCACTGACTACAAGCACTGGTTGTACACTCTTGTTTTCATGATTTGAGGGATGTGTGTTGAGATTGTCAATGTGAGTTTTTGGCTGTATTCAGGAAAAATCTTGAGTTTAAACTCAAACTTCACTCAGTCTAGACTCAAATTTTGACATGGTAGAGTTTGATTTTAAGCTAAAGATCATCCCCAAACAGCAACCTTTGTGTACCATGATAAAATTAGTTAAACTCAATACTTAATGATTAATTTAAAAATTAACTTTAAAGTCTGAAATACTGCAAAGATAATGTTGTAATGTTAAATTATAATATATATTAATATAAATAATATGTACATATCAATAAAAAATATTATTCTTATGGTAAATTTGAAAAATTGAACAAATACTTAAATATAATATACTTATTTCATAAATGAACATGCTTATCATCAAAAGAATTTAAAAAGATCATGATAATATTTATATTTAGTACCACATGCCATTCTATTGCTTATCCAATTTGACAGATATGATCCAAGATTTGTTCAAAATATTGATAAATAAAATGACAAAATACTTTCACAATCTCTTCAAAAATAAATTTAAATTAACTTTATACTAGCTGTCCGCGTGACTTCGCCCGCGTGTAATTTAGTTTTTAATTTTTTTTTGCTCGGAAACCTAATTCTTTTACGTAAATAAAAGTAGCCTAAGTTACTCCTTATAGTTGCTTATCAGCTGTCCAGTAAAAGTCCCATCAAAATCGATCCAGCTGTTTCGGAGATTAGCTGGAACAAAAAGACAGACAAACATTTTAAAAATGGTGTTTTTGTCATGAGTGCATGAGATATGCTTTCATATGCATTTAGTGAAAAGCTATTATTTTGACTTTTTTTTTATAGGATAAGGGTGACAAACGAGCACACAGTCCACCTGATGGTAAGTGGTCGCTGTGGCCCATAGACATCTACATCTATCTTCGATTAAGAGTCAAAATGCAGATGTGTTGTCACCCGTGAGGACTAAGATGGAATGCCTCGTTTTCAGTAAAAAGGGTCTCCAGTTCTCTACACTCACCATATGAAACAGAGCAGCGTTAAGCTGCTATTTTACGCTGGTATTCTGTGAGAGCGTGGTCCTTCCCCGGTCGAGCCGACCCATTCCTGCTACAACCATAATATAGATGCAGCATGGCTCTACCACGTATAAACAAACAGACACTCCAATTTTATTTATTTGTATAGATCATTTTTACTTTTATACAATACTTCAAAGAGGATGCAGTAGTCTGAGAGCTGGCGATGAATTTTGGGAAGGTCCTTTGGGCAAGTTGAAATTGTGAAAAAATATAATTTCGTCAATTGGCGAATCCATTCCCGCGAGTCTGGCAGAGCGTTTGCGAATATATGATATATATTTAAAAAAGATATTTCTTAATAACCAATCGCAGTTCAAGGAGCTTAGGCCCCCATCCGCTGTTGGCATGCTTCAATAAGATATCTTTCTCACACTTATGGCTACGCATAAGACTTTTTTGTCATATTCATTTGTAAAATTTATTCATGTCTGGGAATTGTTTAAAACCGCTAAATTCGTCTGGCGATTTGCAGATATTATTAAAAATTACTCAATAAATACGTGATAAAAATTTGAGATTGCCAAAAGTATATTTTTTGGGAAATTTTAAAATAAATTTTTGGAGAGGTAATACTTTATAACCGATTAAAACGTCTGGAATTATTTTTTGGAATTATATAAAAGCTAAATTAAAAGATAAAAAAGAAATAAAGTTGCCATAAAACATTTTTTTTGAATTTTTTTTTGCAAATGTTATATGCTGCGCAGTAACAAAATAACCGCAAACGCTCTGCCAGACTAGTGGAACTGGATTCGCCAAGTGACGAAATTATATTTTTTCACAACTTGAACTTGCCAAAAGGACCTTCCCAAAAATCGTCGCCAGCAATTTCTATTTTTCATGAAATTGGGATTCAGGCATTCTGATTTCATTTAAATCATTTAAGGGTTGGTAGGTATTGTATTCGATTTCATAAGCCTGTTGCTGAGCCTAGATAGGCTTACCCCAAGGAATGCCGTAAAACATGCTACTGAGCCATCTTTAACCATCAATTTCTTACATAACTTCACAGGTTGTTACTTCAGTTTGTGAGATTACCAGAAAAGGAGATTACCTTTTAAACATTTGTGTTAACCATATGTGAATTGAGACAAAAAGCCAGTGGGTCACCTGGTAAGAGAAGTACTTTGTTTACCACTATGAAACTGCTACTAGCGAACCTTTCTTCCTCTTTGGTTGTCAGATTTTCAAGATATATGGCCGGCCCATTGTCACTTCAGCTTATTGATCCATTGGGCTATGTTGGTCACGCTGGTTCTACTGTAGATATTCTTCATTTCAAATTCCATCAAGCAGATCAACTCTATATAACATTCTCCGTTGCTCCATGAGCGTCCTTGAGCTTCCTTATACGACGACATATTGGAGACGAGTAAAACTGTCGTAATCCGCAGAGTCGTGCACAGTCAGAGAGTTGAATCTGTCGATTAATCTCTTGTTTGAAATTGGACTTAAATAGTTGGACAATTTGCCCTAGGTAAACATACTTGTAAACAATTTCGAGCATAGTGTATCCAACAACTACCGGCGTAGGCTGACATTACATATTTATTAACCTTTGTCTTGTCCATGTTCATCTTAAGACCTATACATTGTCCATGTTCATTATAAGGCCTAGCCATTGGAGACACTATTGATTTAAATAAGCATAGTGCTAAGTTTCTTCAGCGATTCTACCATAATGACTATCACGTTGGCATTCGAAGGTGAGTGATGTATTCGCCACTGTTGTTGTTACCATATTCTTTTCAGTTCAATAGGTTGCAAACGACTTCCAATACGATGGAGTTTTTGTTTCTTACATTACTAACATCTAGATAAACCGTAAAATTTTAAGTTACTCATATTACAAATATTTCTTTTTTGTTCATTTCAGATTATGGTGGCCATTTTTTGTAGTACTTTTCTATATTTTATCTCCCATTCCAACAATGATAGCACGACGTCACACAGATGGCACAGGAGGCACCAACTCTACTTGTATGGAGACTGCAATCTTTATAACTATGGGCATTCTTGTTAGTTCATTTGCACTACCTATAGTGCTAGCTCGAGCTGCAGTGGTATGTATATATTTTTACTCTATGTAAGATCTTATGTAAGAAAGCATCATTTCACTTTGTCCACTTCTGAACATAGGCCTCTCCCATAGATTGCCTCAAAGGGGGAATATTTGCCATAGTTGCCATTTAGAATTTTGGGTGACAAGCCATAGTATACAGAAGAAATAAAGAATTCAGAATGTGACATTTAATTTTCATTGTATGTTCATTATTTAGTATTTACCATTTTTGAGTGGAGACTAAGAAATATCACAATGTCGAATTCGTTTAAATATTTCCATTAAAGCTAGATCCTCTATTTTGCCACCTATAGGAAATTGGGATTTTGGATTGAATTGGGTGGAATTGATTCACATTTTTTTAAATAGAATATGGATGACAAACCGAGCACACAGTCCCCTTGATGGTAAGTGGATGCTGAGGCCTGAAACATCTACATTTGTCCTCGATTAAGATTCAAAATGCAGATGTGTTGTCATCCCTGAGGACTGAGATGGAATGTCTTGTTTCCAGTAAAATGTTTCCGGTTCTCTACACGCATCATACGAAACACAGCAGCATCAAGCTGCTATTTTACGCTGGTTTTCTGTGAGAGCGTGGAACCATACAGCGTGACCCCGGTCGAGCAGACCCATTCGTGTTACAACCATAATATAGCTGCATCGTGCATGTATTACGTAAAATTTATATGGGAACTCTCATTTTTTTTAACATGTTAAATGCCAGAGCTTGAATACAATCCCACCTGGTGGTAATCTACTATCTAGGCCCTAAAATCTAGGGCCTAGATAGTAGATCTAGTAGACTAGTAAATCGCACTGTCTAATTGTAACAAAAGTCTATTCACTCTTGCCTTGAAGACGCCCAGATCGTATTCAGATGGAAAGACAAATTATTACACTCCTTTGCTGTACGCATTTCGAAAGACGAAGCAAATCGTTTATTTCGGATGCGTGGAATATCGACAACAACGGGTTCAATCGCCGATTGCCTGACTGTCCGATAATGGAAAGGAGAGGGAGGAATTAAAGCATGTAATTCCTGTGCACACTCCGAAATGCATCGTATAGAATATCGAGCGGGGTGGCTACTCGGCGCCTGTGATCGAGGCTAACAAGATTGGTTTCAACCAAATCAAGGTTACCGATAAGCTTCTTAGCACGTCTCTCCACTGAATCCAAAGCATGAAGTATAACTTTTTTTTTTTTTAAAGATTATCAAAATTGGTTTACAATTGACAAAGATGTCGCGTAACATATATTACAAAAAAACGTACAGTCAAATTGATAACCACCATTTTGATTTGGTTAAAAATGCTAATAAAAGAGAAGTAATAGAAAAAAAAACATACAGTAGTAATCCATGTAAGAGTCTATTTCAAAAATATATCAAGGCCTTTGAAAAATAATCACAGATTACCTATCATATTGCTTTAAAACGGGTTTTTTCATGTCTAGAATATTATTGTGCTACACTGCTTACCCCTTTTTGACAATTCGACTGTGCAAACGTTTGAGTTCGAATGTGCGGTCCTAGTTCAGAACATTTATTTATTACTAGGTAAAACATCTTCTAAATCGCACAGTGGTGGACCGCCAATCATCCAGATGGTGTGGATGGTACCGGGAGTTCTGTCGCGATGTGCGTTCGTGAAATTTGGCGGCTGGGAATAATCTGAACAATTCCTCGGAGCACTCCCCGTGGTAAATGCGAAAGAAAATGCAAAGGGATGCAACATATCTTCGCAGCGCCAATGAATCGTGCCGATCGGAAAGGACTCGGTCGTCGACGAATCGAGCCGCTCTGCGCTGGATGCGGTCAAGTGGAAGGAGCTGGCATTGGGGCGCCTCAGCCCAGAGATGGGAACAGTATTCCAGGTCAAGCCAAACCTGCGCCTTGTAAAGTTGCAGGCGTTGTGTCGGCATGAATTTCACAATTTCGCGGGAAGCCCATAAGAAGGAAGCTTCGAAAGAGGCGCTTTGTGCCAAACCCGATCGAAGGCCTTCGCAATGTCCAAACTAATGGCCAATGCCCTTGGACTCTACTGCCTCCGCCTATCTATGAGTAAGGTAGACCAGAAGATCACCAGCTGATCGACTCCGACGAAAACGCTATTGGCGGTCACTAATCAGCTGGTGATCCTCAAGGTACCGTATGAGCTGGCAGTTTATAATGGATTCCATTATTTTGGAGAACAAGGAGTTGACGGCGATAGGCCTATAGTTGGACGGGTCTGAGCGGTCGCCTTTTTTAGGGATCGGGTGGACAAAAGCTGTCTTCTATGATTTCAGGACTAGGCCTAAGGAGTAAGAGTACCGGAAAAAACATTATAGTACCGGTGCCAACTCTGGAGCACACGTCCTCAGCACAATTGGGGGAGATTCCGTCAGGCCCACTCGACTTGTGGATGTCCAGGGAGAGGAGTGCTTTGCGAACCGAGCGCTGTGAGAACCGCACATCCCACATGGAACACCCACATCGTGGGATGTTCGGCGGTGTGTTCCCCCCCGTCATCAAGAGTCGAGTTGGACGCAAAAAGGGAGCTTAAAAGGTCGGCTTTCTCTTTTGCGGCGTCGGCCAGTAAATCTTCCTCCCTGTGCAGAGATGGTAGTGATGGCTTACAAAAATTCCCTTGGACAGCCTTGGCGAAAAACCACAATGCACGGGTTTCCGGAGGAAGCCGAACTAGTTTCTCGCCAATTCTGCCTATGTGCTCTGACTTTGCCTTGGCAATAACTCTTTTGAAGGACCTGGAGACGAAGTTATACTTCTTTTTAAGCATGCGGCTTTACGTCTAATGAAGTCAATCCTATGTCTCCCCCCCATCCCCCCCCATGGTCTAATCCAAAGTCCGGGAAACTTTCAGCTTGACTTACATAATCGTTTTCAGTGCCTAGAAGATTGCAATGCAGTGGACTATATGGATGACAAGCTAGTGGAAACTGTATATGCGGTCGGAGCTAAGTAAGCTGAGCTGTAAGACCCGTCGCAGAAGAACACAAAAACTCTCCGATCACAGCCTCAATCTCATGGCTGTTAGACGAGAAATGAAGCTGCAGTCTTATGCAGATTTGACAGTATACAGGCAACTGAGCAGACAGTTCCAAACGCATGCTGTGAGACCATCGATCACTAATAAATGTCCTTACCGAATGGGCGCCCACTCGAACATTCGGGTGCGCTTTTAATTTTTTCGTAGCTTTGTGAATACAACTTAAGGCAATGCATTTAAGGTTGAATTTACATTTATGTATATTTATCTCAACTAGAATTACGTCAAAACAATTGGCGACAGTTTTTAGAGAACTTTTGCATGGGATTGCGTATCCTGTTTTTTATTAGTGATCGATGGGCGAGACTTACGCAACTTCAGTACAGCTCGTATTGAAGTAGCGACCAAGCGGAACCAGGGCTGCAAAATCTTTGCCAGAGATCTCTGTCAGAAAGAGCCAACTGTCGAAGACAGAGTGTGGCAGCATCGTTTCCGGAACACCTGAGATTTTCAGTGAGATTGAGAGGTTTTATAGGCAGCTGTACACATCATTGTTGGAGCTACACGAAAGTGTGAGTAACGATCCAAGATCAAGTCTTAAGCGTGATATTCCGGACGTCAATCTGAGCGAGATTAGAATCCAGCACCTTAAATACGGCAAGTCCCCGGGCGAGGATGAAATTACAGCGGAACTTCTGAAAGCGAGTGGAAAACCGGTACTTGAAGTCCTTCAGAAGTTCTCATTCTGTCCTCCATGTTGGCACTACACCGGAGGCGTGGAGCAGAAGTGCGGTGGTCTTGTTCTTCAAGAAAGGCGACATCTCAACGCATGCTCTTGAAGAACTACAGACCCATTTCGCTTCTGAGCCGCGTCTACGTGCTGTTTTCGACAAATAGTCCGACTAGGTAAGTCCAACTTCGACTGAGAGGTCAATCGACGGATTCAACTCGGCTGGGCAGCGTTCGGGAAATTACGACACATCTTCTGGTCAGGTATACCTCAAAACTTGTAAACGAGATTGTACAACCAATGCGTGTTACCATTGATGACCAATGGATCTGAGATGTGGTGTCCTTTACTGCTGGCCGTATGAGGAAGCTTAAGGTCACTCAGCAAACTATGGGGAGAGCTATGCTCAGGGTTTCTTTGCGTGATAAACTTACAAATTAGGATATCCGCAATAGAACCAGAGTGACCGACATAGCCCAACGGATTAGTAAGCTGAAGTGGCAATGGGCCGGCCATATAACTCGAAGAACCAACAACCGATGTGGAAAAAATTTCTCGAGTGGTAGTCTGGTACCGGTAGGCGAAGTGTAGGGCGACTCCCCTCTAGATGGAGTGACGACCTGCTAATGTCGATGGATACAGGTGGCTCAGGGACGTGCTTTGCGGCATTCCTTGGGGGATTCCTATGTTCAGCAGTGGACTTGTGAACGGCTGTAATGAGGTAGGCCTACAATTGTTCGGGTTCTGGGTGTCTGTCCATATTTAATTAATGTCTCCTCGATATTAGAGAAATTTCTATTGACTATTGAGACAAATTCTCTACAAAGGGAGAGTGACTCATGTCCTGCAGTAGACCATGTATATTCTTATGTATGAATTACTGATATAAATAGACAAAATAAAATCAATATTGTTTCAGATAATGTGGGGTGCATGCTATTTGACTCTAGCAGGCAATGTCATAGTTTATTTGACCATATTAGGTTTCTTCACCATTTTTGACATGGATGAATCTGATTATGCTATGTGGTGAGAGATCTAAAAATGCCACTGTGGATTAACAGACAATCTTAAAGCTGTTTTTTTTTTATAATAAGCAAAGTTGTGGTTATATGTATCTGATTAAATATAAGTCTGAAAGTAAGATAATCTTAGTATTTTTTGAATTTGGTGTTTAAATATAAATGCCTTTAAATATAGATAAAAAAAAGTTGTTGCAACAGCATAATAAAACTTTCTGCATTTGTATAAATTGCTTTTGCCTTAAACAGACCATATATTATCTATGTGTGTTATATGTGAAAGTTTGTATTAACATACATTCTCTGTTTGTTCTAATATTGAATAGCTAAATTTTCTAAAATATTTTTTTAAAGTTTCATGTCTTACGTACCTATTCCATTTGTTTATCGATATATTTTTTAATTGTAACATATATCCAGTATATTTATAGTTTAAATTAGAAATTTAATGAACCATAGATTTAGTGATTGAAGTATGTAAGTAAAAAAATTTGAGAATAAATATTTTAAGTATAAAATTGTTTATTTTTGTAAATTAATTTATTATATCATGTAGTTCTATGATGTAGGCTTATGATCAGTTACTTTCTTTATAATAATAGCACTGTTAATATACCTTATGGTGGTTTTAGTATGTGTAAAATACCCCTAATTTACACTTTCAGGAATAATGTGTGACAGTGAATATATTATATTTTAAATCTAACATCTCGATTATGTTAAATTGAAGTATTCATTGTAACTAGGGGTGTTTTATATGTTTATATGTAGTTATTATAAAAATGGGCAAAATTGTATATACTTTATGAAGAAAGAAACTATTTGCTATTTTTGTAATTTCATGAATATATTCATTGTTGCAGACATTCCTGTAATGTGTATTATGTAAATACGGCATTTGAAACAGGTCGCAATAAAAATTATTATTATTTGCTTTATAAGTATTATTACCGATTTATTTTTCAACCTTTTAAAAGTTGTTTACACTATAGACAATAGAAATATCTAATTCCATTTTTATCTTTTAGTAGTGTACCTATATAATATTTACAACCATTTATAAACAAGTCAATCAAAACTCAAAATCCATAGAAACATTATGTAATATAAGTGGCATATGCCGCAGACATAACAGCAGAAAAGGAAGGGTAGCCAGATTGATTGGAGGAGCCTTGGATATGTGCAAAGGAATTTCCATGGTCATGCCGATGGGCGGCCATAGGTGAAAGTGCACAAATAACTTGTTGGCCCGAGAGGTGGACCACGTTTCCTCGTGATGAAAATGACCAGGATAAAGTGTATCAAAATACTGCAGACACAACAAAACCCAACCACCACAATTGAAAAGTATTTGTGTATTCCCACGGTGTAGTAACTAGGTACTCTCTGATCGTGATAATGTGAACTAGGAACTTTGAAATGTTGTTGTTAAAATTTCACCCAGGGTAACATCCTGAGACCTAAGAGAAAAGTAAGGTTCATCAGTGGTTCCGGTTATGTTCAATGTTTGTCTGTGAGATTTGCCTGTTTTGTACCACAGAGATCAGTTTCACTTCATTCCATGAGTATCACAAAAAGCGGCAATGGGAAACGCTAAAAAGATCTCAGTAATGAAGCTCGATACATATTTAAATTTATAGCAAAGCAACACCATTGTGTTACTTTGGTAGCGATATTTTGTATTCTGTTCTTCATAAAAAATATCGAAACAAGTTGAATGCGCAATATTGTCAAGATTATTAATCCTCTAAGGCTTTGCTTTTTAAGAATTGCTTTATTCATATTGATTGCTGTTATGATCATAAGACAAAAAAGTGTAAGAACTTATTATTAAAATTATTTAAATATGCATAGGTATGTACTATTATTTAAGCTATAAGTATTATAAAATTTTAATATGGTATCAGTATTGATACAAAACTACATACTTAGGTGATTAATACAACTGATACGATATACCTACCTATTTGATACTAAGCAAAATATCGGGCATCACCCTTCTGTCTCCGATAGATGTACGATAGTAAATTCGAGGAGTAGCTGATAAGTCCGCGGTCTAAGGTAAAAGAAAAGTATTAGTATTTTATTTTTATTATTCTATATAGTCTCTCTCAAGCGAAATACATTTTTTCAAATTGGAAAAAGGATATAGTCGCTAGGAGCCAGGTCTGGACTGTAGGGCGAATGGTTAAATTCTGAGAAGCCCGTGTCCTTCAGGGCCTGCTTCGAAACCTGCGCCGTGTGAACAGGCGCAATGTCTTGCAAGAACAGCACTCTGCGCGCTAACTTCCCACGTCGTTTCAGTACGATTGCCTCTCCTGCTTGACCCAATAAATTTTTTGACAAACTACGCACGTGCCTAAGGGCGTAAGATTACAAAGGGGCTCGCGCGGAAATATTCAATCGAAAAGAAATTAAGTGTACCTACTGACATAAAATAATAAATGATAATTGTATAGTGATGTAGAGATTCCAAAAAGTGATCCGTCTACTTGATTACTCCTACATCGCACTCACTCGTCACGTTTTTCATTCTCGCTCACTTGTTACGTACCCTAATTATTTTGTAACTGAACAATTATATTATGATTTATAATATAGTTAATATATTATAAATTATAATATAATACAGAGGAGTTTTGATGAGGTGCTGGCCGCTGTCGACATTTAATCCGCCTCTGTTTATAGTAATCCCCCTTGGCAGGTAATCAAACACCAAAACACCTTCGCTGTCCCAAAAAACAGTCACCGTAAGTCCATAAGCTCTGATGCTGACTTTTGTACCTTTAATTTCTTCGGCGGCCTTTCTCCCTTTTCTTCCATTGCATAGACTCCTGTTTGCAGAGGCGGATTAATGTCGATAGCGCCCTAGGCTCCTCATCTGCGCCCCTCTAGCGGTCATACATGTATATATATACATATTATAAATTATAACTACTAATTTTGCAAATATGCTATATTATAATTTATAATATAGCTTAATAATTAGTACACTAGTACCCTTAACAGGTGAGCGTAAATGAAATATGTGATGAGAATTTAAATAACTTCCGCGCGCGCCCCTTTTATAACCTTGCGTCCCTAGGTACGTGCCTAGTTTGCCTTAAGGATAATCCGCCACTGCCTGTTTGTATTCTGCATCGTTCTAGATTGTCCCTGACTAACACATATTACAGCAGTTGGTACAATCATTATAAAATTACATATTTGATAAAGCTTGCAGCCAAACGAACTAATCCCGGCAATACCAGACAATTGGCTTAATTAAGTTATAACTCGCTTACTTAAACATAAACACAAAACTTGGATATGACTAAACTTTCCGTATAAATACACTCTTATATTTAACTAAAAAATGACTAATCAAACAGGTTTTGGCTTCAGGGAAATATTCTGAGAGCAAAACAATTTAATTTTCTTACTAGATGATAAGACTTATCTTCTGCCTAGGGGAGGTGTGTAGGTATGTATCACCCATTTCTGTGCAAATAGCAGCGCTCGCACTGTTGTGTCTGATCTGAAGGGTTCAATAGATAGGGCCAGTATAATTACAGGCTGTGAAGCAGTGAGAGGTTAGTGTTCAGAAGTGACAACGTATTTGTAGCTTTCTTTATTATCTGAAATTGGGTGCAAGTGTCAATGGTCTACAGTAGACCTTCAGGTGGACTGCGAGTTTAGTCAGTCTATTAAAGTCCACTGTTAAACATACACTGTTGCCACTTGCCACGCTTGACAAGCGGATTGACAACCGAAGTTCTTTGTTTTTAATAGTTATTAGGAAGACGCTGCTGCCCATCTGATTTGTTTCTCTCTGTCGCCTCTTAAGACACCCACGGGATTATATGGGGTTAGTGGATATTCTTACACCGTCACTTCATATTTATAGGGATGTAATTTATGTATCTGAAGACATAGGTACAGAACAAGTGGTAAAATTAAAAAAAAATTACAACCGACTTCAATAAAAATAAAATGAGAACATCATTACATCATCAATGTAGTCGAAGGCAATTAAATACGCATTATTAAGGATAACTCAAAATTTACTAGTCAGATCTGGATCTTTGTAAGGTGCACTTAGTCCAATTCCGTACAAATACTCGATCCAAATACCTGTTCCATCTAGTCCATGAAGTACGCATAGAGCTTGGTATTGTTGGAATAACTTACACTTTAAAGTATGCTTAATCTTTACGTACCGATACGTGAAGGTAATTAATAGTAATAATCCATTAAGCTATACATAGGCTTAAGACTATCAACGTCAAGATTTATCTACATTCTAGAAATCTAGATTGTTGGCGTATAAGGTTTCAATAACTTTTTTTTTCAGAGTTGGCCGATTGTTGTCTTTTTTTTTGTTTTTTTAATTACCTGTCTACAATCATAGTTTTTTATATACGTGCATGAAAATTAGTCTTAAGAATCTTTAAAACTAAATTGTATTTTACAAATGTTACACATCTAATCTCTAAATAAAAAAATAAATCTAAAGTTCTTTAACCATAACAATACTTCGTTACAAAAAAAATATTCATAAATAAGTCGTGTAGGTATCAATATGGTGCCGAGATCACATTCGCATGAGTCCGTACTAGACACTCTACTGCGTCATAATATTATGGTCTCCATTCGCATCGAGTATTTACAAGTACCCAGTGTATAAAATCTGCCTAGTATTTGGTTGAAGTCCCAGAAGTTGAAGTTTGAATGAAGACACTCACACAACATGAGTGAGCCTCGCGTTACCTTTATATACATTAAAATATATTTCAAATTCAAATGAATGACACACGAATGATTTAGGAAAGCACGAGTGAGAGGCAAAGCATACTAGTAACTACGGCAACAAAATGCTATCTCGCTCCACTGCGCCGGTACTAGTTCGATTGGAGCGTGCGGCGGTGTCGTGCAACGCGTAGGCACAGTGAGACTAGGTGGATCAAGTCTTTTCATAGACTTAGGATATACGTATAGACCAACATAGTGCGCAAGGGAGAAGAAAATTCCTTATGGAAAAAATGCAAGATAGAAAAGGATACCAAATCTCATGACTCTGTAACCGATTTTGAATGACAGGTCGGCGCAAGTCGGCGCGCAAGAAATAAGATTGTAGGTATTTTGTGTGTTTTTAGATTATAATAGTGTTAATTTGTATAATTTATAGTTTTCCAAAATGGTTTCATGTTCCGTAAGTGACTGTGGTATTAACAATAGAAGTAATCCTGATGGTTGCACATTTCACAGGTAAATTCGCAAGACGTCGTTAATAATAAGACACGTCTATTTTTGCTTAAAATTTATGTTAAATACTGTTTAAAATATGTAATATTTTCAATTATTTTATTAATTTTGATATTTTGCAAAGAAAAAAGTCACATTGTTGATAATTTGTATGATTTTGGTGAATTCATTTTTAAACAAAATATTTTACATTTACGCTAGGGATTGACTCAACTATATCAAAATTAATGTCGATATTTATCTTTAATGTGTATAATGAATCGATAGACTTTTATACACAACAAAAAGAAGAATGAAATTAAATGCTCGATTTGCGTTCTAAAAACAAAATTTTATTTTGCCGTTTGTCAAACAGATTCCCTCTGGATCCTTTAGTTAGAAAAAAATGGTTGGCATTAATTGGGCGGGTTAGTTGGAATCCTAAGAAAAACTCTACAATTTTGCAGTAAACATTTTATTGAGAGATATATAAGAAAAAGCAGAGTAAATACAACTTTATTAAAAGGAGCCATTCCTACATTATTTGTACCAGTAAGTATATTATTGTAACAATAAGACTTCATTTTTTTTCATAGGATGGGGTGACGTTTGTCACCCCATCCTATGAAAAAAAATGAACACAGTCCACCTGATGGTAAGTGGTTGCTGTGGCTCATAGACATCTACATCTATCCTCGTTTGCAAATCAAACTGCAGATGCGTTATCACCCGTGAGGACTAAGATGGAATGCCTCTTTTCCAGTAAAATGGGTCCCCGGTTCTCTACACTTACCATACGAAACACAGCAGTATTAAACTGCTATTTTACGCTGGTATAAAAATTTTACATCAAAAACTTTAGGTAAAAATAGAGATAGATTTTTATACATTATAAAAGTTTATCTCTATTATTATATATTTTCCCCTAGGGGTTGTGCGGAGCTTTGGAATATATTCCTAAGTCACAATGATATAACTTTTAGCGTAGTTAGGTATGGTTATTGAGTAATGCTCCTGAAGCGCCACTAGATGCCATGAGGCGCGTGATTTAGTGTACCAGGATAGTATAAATTCCATAGTATTTGATACGCGCAACGCTTGATATCCGATTCATGCTTGATGCTCGACGGCCGGTGACCGTTTTCTTAACATACTGCGATTGAGAGAATAGAAGAGTGCATCTGCAACCTCGGACACTTGGTGCACTTTAATGTCTACAGCGTATTTGACTTGTCTATGTTAAGATCATTATATTTTTTAAATTCATGCAGCTAAAATGATAATAAATTTATTATTACTTTATATTTTTCAGGGACAGATCAAAGAAAGAGTAGCGTCATCATATTATGTCACTCGTGACATAACCCCTCCACCTTTGAAATCACAAGAAAGAAGTGTTAAATTTACACCAAGAAAAAAAAACTTTTATCGAAAATCGAGAGATTAAAACAAAATCTGAAAAAAAAACGTATTTCGGAGCTATTCTATATATGCTGCTTTAACTTCAGAACTTTGTAAGTGCGATTTAGGCTTGGCGTGGCGCGACCACAAGCGAAACATATCGAAGCCAGCATCGCCACATCACCCCTCTACTCAGACCGGAGATTGATAGTGCAGTCCGATTGCAAGTGCCAGAGATTGCCTTGTAGTCTGCGGTGAGTCGAGAAGAAGGCAAAAAATCTGCGAGAGTGCCGTGAAGCAGAGGCGAGCAGTAAGGCTTAGAGCCGTGCCTAACACTGTAGCGCAGAGAGTAGCTTGAAGGAACAGGAAGCATTATATTCCAGTGCTGCGATGAACCTTTGTAAAGCTAGATGGCTTGCAAAATGTGAAGACTGCAGACAATATCTGCTCGGGAGCGAATGAATGGGGTACTTGAGGAAGTTTTGGAGGAAGGGTTTGAAGTTGTAGTTTCCGAAGGTTGTTTGTTGCGTGTTCATATTACGTCGGGGTCACCACTGTGACTGGTGGAAGGAAATGGGGAGATCTCCCGCCGGGCAAGATGTTCTGCCCGGGGAGCGGCCAACGCTCCGATGGGTAGTTCGGAGCTATTCTATATATGCTGCTTTAACTTCGGAACTTTGTTAGTGTGATTTAGGCTTCGATATGTTTCGCTTGTGGCGCGACGACAGCGCCGCCACAGGCATGTGGTATCGCAGATTTTTTTTAGATGGAGCAAAGACCAATATTTTTGTAGAACATTGTATTTATGTAATACTAAATGTTACGCTAGCGCACGTGGATAAAGCAGTTAGAGAGCGCCTTTTTTTCTGACTTGCTTAACAAAAATCAATATATAAGGTTAGCTGATAGTTATATGCTTGATAGCCTATACTATTCCTCATGAATCTGGCTATTATATGCAAAAATTTTAAATTTGAAATGGTAGGTCCAGAGATTAGCGTTTTAAAACAAATACAAAAACTAACAAAATAACTCTTCCGCTTTAATTTATTAGTATAGATTAAATGATTTTGTTTTCTTGTTTCTGTTTCAGATTCTGTTTTATAAATATTAAAGGTAATAATTATATAAAAAATAAAGCAGCCATTATATACTCCCTGTCCTCGTTTTTTATTTTAGCAGCAAAACATTTTATAAATATTAAAGGTAATAATTATATAAAAAATAAAGCAGCCATTATATACTCCCTGTCCTCGTTTTTTATTTTAGCAGCAAAACATGTTATAAAATATAAATAGGTAGATACTTAATTAAGTATCTACCTATTTATATTTGATTAACATTATGTTGAAAAAGAAATAAATTCCGGGGAAATTGTAAATTGCATTAAATATTTTTCTCCAGAGGTCAAAAATATAACTTTCCGATCTGATTGTTGGAGAAAATTGTTTCATTATATCGTTAGACTTACCTCGCCTCTTCAGATATTATTGCAATTTTGTACATTTTGAATTAAGGTCCAACAAAAGGCAAGTGGTGCCAGTGAAAGAATTTCCACTTCCCAATATCGTCACATGTGTATCATAGAAGGTGACAAAGGGAAACTGAAAGAGGCGATGGGCAGCAGCATCTTCCTGATAACAGCTCGAAAAAATTAAAAAGCTGTGGTTGACAACTCGCTGGCCAAGCGATGGTAAATATCCCCCCTATGAGGCAATCTATAGGGAGGCCCATGTTGAGCAGTGGATTTTTATAGGCTGTAATGGATTATGGATGATGGAAAAGGCAGGTGGGTGTAGCTTATTCCCGGTAACATGTTATTTGAATATTTTTAGTTATTTTAAAACTATCATGGTAAAAATTTAGTTAACTTTTAATAAAATAGTTTAGTGCACAAAAGTTATTCAGTTCTGTGCACTAAATTATTTTATTAGTCTTTAAACCGGTTTCTGAACAAAAATTTTTCGATAGCTCTTTTAAGTAAAATGTACATCACTAGCCAACTCACACAATAATAAATCAAAATTGGTCATGCGTTTTCGGGCTGTCAGGTCGTCTATACGCCAGTATATCCTAAGTCTATGAGTCTTTTAAAAGTTGGAACAGGTACAACCTAGTCTCGTTTAATACCTAGTGCCTGGATCTGTTCTAGTATATACACTTTATCTCTACTATAGAGTACAAATTATAAACTCTACAGATACTACAGCTACAGATAAAACTTGGAGGTTTGGGGAGAACTTGACCAGCCGCGGCTTGCTGCTCCTGTATTATTGTTTAAATAATGGTTTGAAGTGGATTTTGATATGTAAAAGTGGTGCGACTTTATGTATTAAGTGTCTGCGCATGTGAACTAGTGGAAACGGTGAAACAAGTGCTCTCATGGTAATGTGATTCTCAAGATAAGGTGTCTGTCTGTCTACTATCAGCTGTCTGCTGGCTCAAGTTGTCGTTAAAATCCCCCAAGGACTGCACAATGAGACGCATCAACATATTGTAAAGCAGAGTACTATGAAGGATTATAATTATACATTGTAACTTTAGGCTCAGAAGGGCTAGAATCCAGAGCCCTAAAGCTAGTTATAAAAAAGATAAAACTTGAAAGTTGCGTCAACCGTCAACGTCAAGTCAAGTTGTCAAATCGCCGCACCCAAATTCCAATACTTATTACTTTTATTTTTGTACAGCTAAACTTATGATAATTTCTTTGTAAAAATAAAAGCAATCATGGGTGATCATTTACCGGCTTGTGTTATTGACGTGGGGACTGGATACACAAAGTTGGGGTTTGCTGGCAATAAGGAACCCCAGTTTATCATTCCGTCAGCCATAGCGATAAAGGAAACTGCTAAAGTAGGCGATCAAAGCACTCGACGTATGACTAAAGCAGTAGAAGATTTAGATTTCTTTATTGGAGATGAAGCTTTTGAAGCGACTGGCTATTCAGTGAAATATCCAGTACGCCACGGATTAGTTGAAGATTGGGATCTCATGGAGAGATATATTGAACAGTGTATTTTTAAATACCTTAGAGCTGAACCAGAAGATCATCACTTTCTTCTAACGGAGCCGCCTTTAAATACACCTGAGAATCGGGAATATTTAGCTGAAATAATGTTTGAATCATTTAATGTCCCTGGATTGTATATCGCTGTTCAAGCTGTTCTTGCACTCGCTGCTTCATGGAAATCTCGTACTTCTGCAAAACGCACATTTACAGGCATAGTTGTAGATAGTGGAGATGGAGTGACTCACATTGTCCCAGTGGCAGAAGGTTATGTGATTGGCTCATGTATTAAACACATTCCAATTGCAGGAAGAAATATTACATCATTTATCCAATCTCTACTTCGGGAAAGGGAAGTTGGTATCCCACCTGAACAAAGCTTGGAGACTGCAAAAGCTATAAAAGAGAGATATAGTTATATATGTCCTGATATTGCTAAGGAGTTTGCTAAATATGACTCAGATCCAGCTAAGTGGATGAAAAAATACACTGGCATTAATGCAATTACTAAAAATCCTTTTACTGTTGATGTTGGGTATGAAAGATTTTTAGGTCCTGAAATTTTTTTCCATCCAGAATTTTCAAATGCTGACTTTACAGTACCACTTAACGAGATGGTGGATGAAGTTATTCAATCTTGTCCTATTGATGTCAGGAGAGGATTATATGGAAACATTGTGCTGTCTGGTGGGTCAACAATGTTCCGCGATTTTGGTAGAAGACTACAAAGAGATATAAAGCGTACTGTTGATGCAAGGCTTAAATTGTCGACTATGCTATCAGAAGGACGTATCACACCAAAGCCAATAGATGTGCAAGTTATCTCTCATAACATGCAGCGTTATGCTGTGTGGTTTGGCGGCAGCCTGTTGGGCTCTACACCCGAATTTTACCAAGTTTGTCATACTAAGCAGGCATACATGGAGTATGGGCCAAGTATTTGCAGACACAATCCTGTGTTTGGAACTATGACATAATAGATTTATTTTAATGTTAGGTCAGTATTTTTGCTTATAAAAGTTTTAATCAAATTATATTTCCAAGGTATTTTCCCCTTAATGGATTTTATTATTTGTATATGTTATAAATTAGATAAGCACTCAAAATAATGTTAAAAAATAAGTTAATTCTATGCTATGTATCTTAAAATATGTAGCAATGGTGGTAATAAATTTTCTTTGTTAATTTAAACATTTGTTATTCCATTCCAGCTTTTAATGACATAATTTTCCAAATATTTTTTTTTGATTTTCAAAGCTTTGTCAAAAATATTTTATAGTAATTTTTATAGGTTTTAAAATTTAATTAAATAATCATGTTAAATACTTAATTTTCCAGTTCAAGATGAAAATATTGATATTTTAAAAGTATAAAAAACTAACTTTATATCATTTTTTTTTAATTGCTCTCATATGATTGTAGCTTGTCTTCTATAGAGTTAATTATTTATTCCAATTGTGGATAGTTTATTTGTAGAAAAGTGTTTTTCAATTAATCTGGTGCTGAATATGTTCTCATAAGTATTTAACTATAATATTAATAGCCTTTTCAAGTTCATGCCTGGATATAGGCCTATGAAAATTCTAGAAATGTGTTATTTAAAAGTTGTGCCTACTTTATGTACTTATATTTATATAAGTTTATTAAACCCACTCTCTTTTTTTCATTGGGTATAATATGTTCTGCTTTTAACAATAAGTATATTCTGTGGTAAATTGCAAAGCAAGAATATTTCGACGAATACATCATGTATGGGTTATAAATATTCTCCATAGCATACTTGATAATGTTCTATATGCTTATCAATGAATTATTTTAAGGCTGATATTTGCAGTTTTATTATACATAAAATAAAATAAAATAAAAACTCATTTAGGATAGATTTTTATTATAAATAATTATTATAATTTCAATTATTCAAGTATGTTTTGATTAACAAACCAAATAAAATTTTGTTTAATAAGTGCCCAAAAATGTAATGTAATACAATAAAATACAGTATCTAAACATATTGAGTTTGAATATTAGAGTATCTACCATATACATATCTACATTTTGTGAAACATATGTAGGTGTATATGTAGCTATACCACAATAAATAATATACATAAATATTATGGCTCACATTTTTAACATTGGAAAAATTCTTCAAACCCTGGTGATTTTTGAAAGAAAAACACCTAATTATTTGCCTATATTACTTTGTGAGACTATTATTTATATTTATACATCAAGCTAAATTTGGGGGTGTTGAAAGTGTTTTTTAACCTGATAAAAAATATTATTAACCTGTTGTTAATAATATTTTTGAAATATTACAAAGTGATGTCATCACAACAGATGATATCGCTAAAATTGTGACTCTTTTCAATTAGATATTGGTATAGTGTACACAATACAGTAAGTAGAGAGCCGTGTTAGCTCAGGGTCTAAGCACTCGCTGTAAATTTCAAAGTACTGCAGCAACCCGCGTTCGATCGCGCCGACACCAATGAAATGGTTAATTGATTTACAACATGCTCGGCGGTGTAGGAAAACTTCGTAAGGAAACCTGCATGTTTGAGAAATAAGAAAAGTTTTTTTTTGAAGACGTGATGTGCGCTAACATGCATAAAGTGCGGCGAACATTTCTTTACCCTAAAACCTTCTCAGAAATGAGACTTGGCCTGTGCCAGCAAGGGATGGATATAGGCTGTAACTTTTAACACTATATAGTATACTTTGGACATAGGATATAGTAGATCTGATAATATAGTTACTATTCAAAGTTCAAATTTGCGAATTAAATACTTACGTGTTAAAATTTATGATTAATAGCATCTGAATAGTATCATCATCATCCTCATCATCAAGTATAATTTACCCCGTGTAGTGGCGGGTAAGAACCGACTACCCCATGTCTTCCCGTGGGTGTCGTGAGATGCGACAGAGGGAAACTGAGACAGAAGATGGGCAGCATCATCTTTCTGATAACAGCAAATTATAATAAGAAAACTGCGGTTGTCTACCCGCTCGCAAGACGTGGCAACTATGGCAATATACCCCTCATGACAAAAGGTACAAAAAGACGGCCCCAGTTCCCGGCGGCCCCGCTATTCCTGGCTACGGTGGCGGCCATGGTAACGGCGGGGCAAGGGGTGCTAAGAATCTCCGGTGGAGGTTCGGTTGCTACCTAAGACGACTCGACCTGGGCACATACAACGCACGCATTCTGAGGATTGATGAGAAGATCCTGCACACACAGGCAACTGAACAGGGATTTACGCAATACTGCTCGTATTGAAGAAGTGATCGAGCGGAAACAGGGCTCCAAAGCAAGAGATCTGTTGGCCAGAAAGATCGAACTGTCGAAGCTGAAGACTGAATGAGGCAGCTGTGGATATCATTGTTGGAACCACACGCAAGTGTGAGTAACTATCCAAGAGTAAGTCTTATCTGACACTATTCCGAAGATATCCCGGACGTCAGTTTGAGCGAGATTAGAATGGCTCTCCAGCACCTTAAAAACGGCAGGGCCCCTGGTGAGGATGGAATTACAGCGGAGCTTTTGAAAGCGGGTGGAAAACCGGTACTTGAAGTCCTTCAGAAGCTCTCCGTCCTCCATGGTGGCATTACTCCGGAGGCGTGGAGCAGAAGTGCGGTGGTCTTGTTCTTCAAGAAAGGTGACAAAGCTCTCTTGAAGTACTACAGACCGATTTCCCTTCGGAGCCGCGTCTACGTGCTGTTTTCGAGAGTCATTACGAATTGTCTCGCACGCAGACTTGACTACTTCCAGCCTCCCGAACAAGCCGGTTTCCGAAAGGGCTTTACCATAGACCACATACACACCCTTCGGTAAATTGTACAAAAGACAGAGGAGAATAATCTGCCACTTTGCCTTGCGTATGTGGACTATGAGAAAGCCTTTGATTCCATCGAAATTTGGGCGGTCAAGGTGTCAAGTTGACTGTCGGTATATCGAAGTGCTGAAGTGTTTGTAAAGTAGGGGTACGGTGCCTATCTGAGTACAGAACCAGAGTACGAAACCTATCCAACTGCAGACAAGTGTGTTTCGGGGATATAACGTCACCATGTCGGTGACGTTATATCCCCGAAACTCTTCACCGCTGCATTGGAAGACGTTTTCAAGCTACTAGACTGGAAAGGACGCGGTATTAACATCATTGGCGAGAACATCACTCACCTTCGATTTGTCGACGATATAGTTCTTATGGCAGAATCGCCGGAGGACCTAAGCACCATGCTCAATGACCTCAATAGTCTCCCAACGAATAGGTCTTAGGATGAACATGGACAAAACAAAAATGATGTTTAACGTCCATGTCACACATATGCCGGTAGTTGTTGGGAGCACTAAGCTCGAAGTTGTTGACGAGTATGTTTATCTGGGACAAATAGTCCGACTAGGTAAGTCCAACTTCGACCGAGAGGTCAATCGACGGATTCAACTCGATTGGGCAGCGTTCGGGAAACTACGACACATCTCGTTAGACATACCTCAAAACCTGAAAACAAATTGAAAAAAATTGTACAACCAGTGCGTGTTGCCAGTAATGACTTACGGATCTGAGACGTGGTCCTTCACTGTTGGCCGTATGAGGAAGCTCAAGGTCACTCAGCGAGCTATGGAGAGTGCTTTGCTCGGGGTTTCTTTACGTGATAAACTTAGAAATGAGGATATCCGCAGTAAAACCAGAGTAACCGATATAGCCCAACGGATTAGTAAGCTGAAGTGGCAGTGGGCCGGCCATATAGCTCAAAGAACCGACAACCGATGGGGAAGAAAGGTTCTCGAGTGGCATCCTCGTACCGGTAGGCGAAGTGTAGGGCGACACCCCACTAGATGGAGTGACGACCTGGTAAGACATGCAGGAAGTCGATGGATGCAGGTGGCTCAGGACCGTGCTTTGCGGCATTCCTTGGGGGAGGCCTATGTTCAGCAGTGGACTTATGAAGGGCTGTAATGATGATGGTGATGATGAACTAATAAAATGATAACCCACTTGTGTTGCATCAAAGAAAAATAAATTTTCATTTGTAATCACAAGCCAAAGCACCGTGTTAATCACAAGCCTAAACACATTTATTATAATGCACAAATAACAATTAATGAAATCTTCGTTTATTATTAAAATTAAAAATTTTGTACTACCGACTTTAATATAAGTTATTAAGAATAACTCAAAAACTATTGACCTTGATCAAATTCATATGGGACCACACGAAAAGTCCCAGCTTTCAAATAAAAAAAGAACCATCGAAATCGGTTCACCCAGTAAAAAGTTAAACATAAAACATTAAAAAAAGACAAGAACAAAAACACAGTCGAATTGAGTACCGTCTCTTTTTTTGAAGTCGACAGAAAACTTGAATTAAGCGATGAATGTTTTACCCCGCTAAGTGGGATAAAATTTAGATAGAAGGACAGAAATAAATTAAGTGTTCCTCATAAATGCTGTCATGGCGGCGTAAGACAATCACTTCCAATATCATCTTGTGGGTGTCGTAAGAAGCGACAGAGGGAAACTGAAACAGGAGATGGAAAGCAGCATCTTTCTGATAACTGTAATAAATGAGTGAATGAATATGACAGCGGAACCCTAAAAATTAGCTATGCTAGGTGCTTGTCGTCGCCTATTTTATATGGACTAGTATATTTAGAATTTAGAACAATTAACCAAAATATTTGACAACATTTTAAAATGTGTATACGTCGGCATCATTGTCATTAGCCCGTTATTACCCAATGCTTTGTAGCCTCTAGCCAAGCTTGGCAAGCAGATTGGCTATCGTGAGATTTCTCGCGCCTTTGACAAAGGTCCTCGATGCAGTTCTGGTAATTTGAAATTTAGCGGAAAGGGGATAGTTTCCATTCATCTCTCAGTATCATTCTAATTCACACAATGAAATGGGGTAATGGATCCTCTTATGCCGCCACCACATAAAAAGTATCTAGTAATTTTTATGAAGAACTAGC